CCCAGGGATCGAACCTGTGTCCTCTGCATTGGCAGGCATATTCTTAACCACTGGACCACCAGGGAAGTCCAGAAGTAGACAGCTTATTTTAGTACAATAAATGCAGAGGATCACCTAGCAGGATGTCATTTTTGCTAGATATTTGTATGTTAGATGCAGTAACCTGAAGTCAGAGTGCCTTTCAGGGCTCTGACGCCCTCCTCCTCACCCCTAACAACTGAAACACTCCTCCATCCACCCCATCAAGGACTGCAGAGATCAAGGCATGGCCTATAGGGGACTAAACATGAGAGGAGGTGGGGCTTTGGGAAGACAGCCAAGGGTTAAAAAGGACCAAGAAGCTGTTGAAAAGGAGAGGGATGGTTAAGGAAAGAGAAGCCCCAGATGGGACGCCTTTTCCAACCTTGGGAGGGTAAACACAGCAAGAATCTAGGACTGCAGTCCCCCGCCAGCAGATTGTCCAAAGAGACGAGTTCAGAGGCTGGAGGTTTCAGTTCCAAAGCTCTTACCCCCCTGGGGGCTTTGTGCTGACTCTCAAGCCTGAAATAGAGTCCTTTAGTGAAGGACTCTTTAAACATAGCGTGTATGTGCCTGGCTTGCTAATGGGCAGGCGTTTCTGCTGTAGCCAGCGCCATCCCTTCCTTTGACAATAAGGAGTTTGTGGGCAAGGCTGCACTTGGACCTTAGATGATCCACTTCTGTCATACTCTCTGTTCTAGCTCCTTTTGTTTTCTCCAAGACTTTAACAAACCCTTATTTGAAACACTGCCCCTTATCACATCTGTGCTGCTCACAAAGAAAGGAGGGGAGGGGAGTGGCAGCAAAGGCAGGGAGCCCTCCCCAGGAGTGTGGGGGAGCGCTCTGTGACCTAGCTGCCCTTCCCTTTTTGGGGTTCTCTCTCCATCTGGGACCGCACACGTTAAGAAAGACAATAGATTCCTCACAGGTGGGTCAAAGACAGAAGTGGGCAAGGTTTGTCTGCAAACCGCTGGGAGGAGAGAGGAAGCCAAGGGGAGAGGCGGGTGTGGAAGGCAGGATGGTAGATGCTACAGAGCATGGAGGCTAGCGGACAGGTCCTGTGAAGAGACCAAGGCTCAGCAGTGAAATAGTTTGTCCAAGGTCACACAGTGAGGCAGTTGACAGCACCTTGGAAAGCCGTGCTTTTAGGTTTGTTTTGCCCAGAACATGGAAGAGAGAAGGCTGGCTCCCAGCAATCCTCTAGAATGTGGATGACAGGCCATACAGATGGGAGTTCCCTGGTGATCCAGTTGTTGAGAATCTGCCTTCCAATGCAGGAGCTGTGGTTTCGATCCCTGGTCATGGAACTAAGATCCTACATGCCTCGGAGCAACATCCTGAAGAGACAGAAAGCCCCCCTGCCACTATGAAGAGCCTCACAGACACCCCCCCCCCCCGCCCCCACTGATGGAATACTATTCGTGGCTCATCTGCAGGTTGGGAAGGACTGGGGAGGCCCAGCACAAATGGAGAGGTGGCTGGAGCCTCCTTCATGCAGAGGATAACATCTGAGGGGAGGGAATGGGGCCAGGACTCTGCTCTTTCTTTTGGGACTCCAGGGTTTGAAGTGGCCTCTAAGGGTAGCCTGACACAGTAGGGGTCCCACTGAGTTACAGGATCAGCTCCTGGTTGGGATGCCTTTGTGTTCTGCAGGTGAGGACTTTCCTGCTGCTCTTTCAACCTGCAAGTTTGGGCACATGGGGTAGCTGCATGGAGATGGTGGCTAAGGTGAGGGGGCAGCTTGGGGGATACACAGCTTAGACTGTCATTCCTGGCCGCTGTGGAGCCCCAACCAGAAGGTGGAGTCTGATTTCTTGGGCAACATGGGGTTATCTACTTCAGGGCATATGCCCACTCCTGATCTCTCGTCCAGGTTGGTCAGTTTCTTCTGAGCAGAGGGATCTGGACTGACCTAGGGTAGCTTAGCTGGTAAAGAATCCACCTGCAATGCAGGAGACCCTGGTTCGATTCCTGGGTCAGGAAGATCCCCTGGAGAAGGGATAGGCTACCCACTTTCTGGGTTTGATCCCTGGGTTAGGAAGATCCCTTGGAGGATGGCAAGGCAACCCACTCTAGTATTCTTGCCAGGAGAATTCCCATGGACAGAGGATCCTGGCAGGCTATAGTCCATGGGGTCGCAAAGAGTCAGACACAACTGAATGACTAAGCACAGCACAGAGAATCATTTGGGGTTCAGGCCTGGAAAGTTGCTTGTGACCATTCGGTGCTATCTGGGCCTGGTGGATGGGGAGGGTTCAGTGGCCTGGCATGGGGCTAGGTTAGAAGGATGCAGTCACTCTATGTCATGGGGAGATAAACATTCTTGATTCCTGATCATCTCCCTGGGGGGCTAAGACTCTGGTCAACAAAATTATAGCTGGTCCTGAGATCCACAACTTTGTGATCCTGGAAAGGTTGGGGTGGGATCACTGGTCCATAGCTGTTTGGCCCACAACCCAACCCTTGCCTTTTCATCACTCACCCATCAGCGCCCCTGATGACTAACTCCTCCATCTGAGAGTGAGTGGTTCAGCCTGATTTGAATGAGGGGTAGGGCCTTGGCATAGTGAGCCAATGTGGGCTGAGAATTGGATTGTGTGTGTGTGTGTGTGTCTGTCTGTCTGTCTGGCGGGAGCAGGGATGGAGTGTCTATCCAACAGGGTGTTGGAGGAGGGGCTGAATTTGGTGGGTAACTGGCTCCCACTGCAGCAAGCAGCGCCCCCTGCTGCCCACAGGGGAAACAGCAGCTTGAATCTGGGTGGGTCCTCTTCTACTTAGAGGGACCCCGAAGCAGCTCAGTCCACCCTCTGGTGGCTCGTGTTCCTTTGGGGTCTGCAGGCCTCTTGTTGGATTCTGGCTTCTGGAGGGGAGGGATCCAGAGGAAGCTGCGGGCCCGCGGTGGGGAGGGTGTGGGTGCTCGCATCATAGGAGTCCTGGGGGACGAGGCTGCTTCTGCTGGGGTCCAGCTATGACCGGGGAGGCCAACGTGTTCCCAGGTCAGGCCCTCTGGAGAGACCCCAGCCAGGGACCGACATGCAGAGCACAGCGGGCAGTCCTGTGCATAGAGGCCTGGACATGCGCTGTGAGCTCCGAGTGGCCGGGACCTGGTGAATACACACCCAGAGCATTTTCCCATGGCTTTGCTGCACCCAGAAGGGACAGGTAGGGTCCCCAGTTCTCGGAGGGCTCTCCCATCCCCACCGTGCTGGAGGCCCTGCACAGAGGCTGCGCAGGGAAGAAGCGGCTCAGGTCCGCTCTGAGTTTTGTCTAATTTTTTTCCAGGCTGGTGCGGGGCTTGAGTGCTGTATTCCTAGTTTGTGGCCGGAGCCCCAGAGACCATCTCGAATGTGCAGGGGCCCAGCCATTGCAGGAAGAGGAGGCAGGCGTGTGCATCCAGTGAGCACCGGCCAGGGACTTTCCAGCAATCCCCTCCCCTCCCCTCCCCCGGCCAGGCACTGTTCCCACCCCGCCTGAGCCCTCTCTCTGTGGTCTTGCCCCACGGGACTTTTATTCTGAAAGAGCCTCTGTAGGTAAGGAGGTGACCAGAGGCTGGAGCTGGCCTGGCCTCTGGACAGGCCCTACTCTTCTGGGCTGTTTTCCAGGGCAGTGATTCTGGGCCCCTATGGGAGGAGCCATGCTGTCTTCAGTTGTCCTTCTTACCTTCTGTCCCCAGCCTTGCTGGACTGTAGGCAAAGGTCTTTGAAGTCTGTTGCCTTCACACCTACTATTGCCTTCACACTGTCATTTCCCTCATCTTTCAGGTCCTTGGCCTTGAACCCTCTGAGAAATGGAGTCGTAGTACATGCCTGCTCAGTTGTGTCCGACTCTTTGCAACCCCACGGACTGCAGCCCACCAGGCTCCTCTGTCCATGGGGTTCCATTCTTGTCCAGGCAAGAATACTGGGGTGGGTTGCCATTCTTTTCTCCAGGGGATCTTCCTGACCCAGGGATTGAACCTGGGTCTCCTGCAGCTCCTGCTTTGGCAGGTGGATTCTTTACTACTGTGCCACCTGGGAAGCCCAGCTACATCATTAAACAAGGATGTCACAGCCAACATCCAACATCGAGTCCGGCACTCCCAAGGTGAGTTTCTGAGCCTGGAGGGCACCCAGGAAGAACAATGCCTGCAATCCAGCAGCTGTCAGGCTGCAGCCATTCCCTACAGTCCATCAGTTGAGGAACTAAGGATGTGAAAATCAAATCACAAATCAAATCAAATCACAGGATGCTGCCCCCAGATAGCTGAGGTGCATATGAAAAGAATGCTTTCAGTCAGCCCAGGCTCTTGCATCTTCCCATACATAGAGAAGAGCTAAATTCCTTAACTTGAGATATCTGGTTTTCCTTAATTAACAATAATCTTTTGATGTTCAGACTACCTGCCCCTTGTTGCAGGACTTGACATAACCTGACTGACAACCCCCACACCCCAACAGTTCTCTCAGTGTCACTTGAGATGCTGTCTTCTGGGTCTGAAGTCTTAAAAATTCTCACTAAATAAAACATAACTCTGAACTTTCAGGTTGTGACTATTTTTAAGTGGACACCTTCATCCGTTTCCCTTTTCAGTCCTTTTTGACCCTCTTGTTGCCTGTCCTTCCCAAAGCAGACATGGAGACCAGCTCACTATTTAGAAACTTTCCGCCTCCCCTGGCACCAGATATAGGTCTCACCCTGACCCATCCCTCTTCCCCAACATGTAGGATGCAAGCATACGATGGGCAAGGCTTATTAGGTGTCAGTCAACATGTCTGTTGAACTTTGTGTGGCTGGGGCCATGCCTTGGACCTGGTTCTATTAAGCCTGGGGAATTTCTCAAGAAGAAGGACAAGGAACGGGATAAGAGCCCCAATAGCTCCAGCTCAGATTCTTGAGAGTCCAGTCACTCTTTCTCAAAAGTTCCACCAGGATGGAGTTTCCACTAATGCTCCAGTGCATGAAGCTGAGTGCTTTCTTAGATGGAAAATAAGAGGCCAAATGAATGAAAGAGAGCAGAGGTTCATTGTTCTCAAAGGCCCTTTCCCTTTGCGTGTTTCTCTCATCCAGGAGGCCAGACCTTGAGCTGGATATGAGGTCACTATTGGGCAGTGGAATGTGAGAAGGAAAGGACTTTGGCCTGGGGGCTGCAAGTTACAGATTAACATGGGGCGGGGGAGGGGGGATGCAGAGGCAGGGTAAGTGGCCTGGGACAGGGACTGCTGACCTGGGGCCACCTGGGCTTGAAGGGGACACAGGCAAGAGGAATCTGGGGACCCATGTGGTCCAGGAGGGGAGGGGGACCCTCAGTTCCTCTCCGGCTACTTGACTTTCCTGAAGATACACTGGCACACTGCATCCCGTGCGGTCATTTCCTGGGGGCAGAGTAGGAATAATAAGGACAGAGAAGATTCTTACCAGCCACCCCCCTTTCTCAAGGCTCTTGACCTTCACTGAATCCTTCAGGATACGTCAGCTGGAGTGTTTGACATATGGGGAACTGTATCCTTTTTCCAAACCCTCAACTTTCCACCCCAGAGGAAGGAAGGGAGCTGGTCAGGGAGCTGAAGTGGCTAAGTCTCCAGATCTCCGGTCATGATTTATGGACACGCATCTGACCTGCAGCCAGGGCCCACCATGGCCACTGGAGTTCTTCCTCTCTCCATTCTTCCCAGGGCTCCCATTTCCCTTCCTAAGCTGCCTTCTTTGGCAGGGGGCAGGCTGGAGTAGTAGACTTACTTGATTTGGGCAAGGGAATGGGTCCTAGCTGGAGGGCCCCCTCCCAGAGACACCCTCCGGCATCTCCTCTCCCAGTCCCCATCCCATTCACCTGATATAACATCTCTCCCTCCAGCCAGAGTCGCCAGCCCCGGTTAGGGATCTCTCCTTTCTGCACGCAAACCAGCTGTTCCCCTTCCCAGGTGATTATGGACTATGGAGAAAGCAGGAATAAAGGAAGACTACGGGGCATTGTAGGGCACCCCAATGCATCGCCTTACTCTGTTTGGGCTGCCCCCACCCTCTGCATCACAGCAGATGCTGTCTTGCTCCAGCCCTTTCCTTCTGAGTGACTCAGCAAAACTCCTCTCCCCTCCCACTCCTAAAGGCCACTGGAAGGGGCCCCACACCGTGTGACAGTGAGAGCGGGGATGAGCAGGATAATCCCGGGGTTGGGGGAGATGAAATTTGGGGTTGGGTGATGAAGAATGGAGAATTTGTCCTCTGATACTTCTGGCTGACCCAGAGGAGACTTTGGGAAAGAAGGGAGATTGGTTGGGAGACAACCAGGGAATTTCTTTTCTCCTCTTTCTCAGTTTCAAGGGCAGCTGCAATGTCCCTGAGAATGAAGGGTCAACTCCCCAAATCAGAGCTGAGTGGACCAGAACTAGGCATTCCAAGCAGCATTATTTGGACCTCTAATAGGCTATGTGTGTGCTGAGTTGTCCAATCGGGTCCGACTCTTTGTGGCTCCATGGGCTGTAGCCCACCAGGCTCCTCTGTCCATGGGACTTTTCAGGCATGACTATTGGAGTGGGTTGCCATTTCCTCCTCCAGGGGATCTTCCCAACCCAGGGATAGAACCCCCACCCCTTGTGTCTCCTGCTTTGGCAGGTGGATTCTTTATCACTAGTGCCACCTGGGAAACCCCAATAGGATAGGCCCTACCCAAACCAGGAGTTTAGAATCCTATGCATTTTTTTTTTTCAGCCATACCACATGGCTTGTAGGATCTTAGTTCTCCAACAAGGGATGGAACCCAGGTTCTCAGCAGTGAAAGCTCGGAGTCCTAACCACCAGGAAATTTCCAAGGAGTTCAGAATCTTGATCGGTTAGAGAAGAGGTCAGTAGGTGTTATATCTGTGATACCAACAAGACTGTTGGTGAAGGGAGCAGAGAGGGAAGAGTGGAGTATTCAAGGAAGGGAGTTAATTGGATGGGAGATAATGGGAACTTTCTAGCAAGAAAAGAAACAGAGGTAAGGAAGATGAGTAGATAGTTGTGAGGGGGCTCTAATCTAGTGTTTTTGTGGGAAGGCCCTTGGATGGTACGTGGAGTGTGTGGACCATACCTGGAACATAGCAGGTTGTCTGAAAGGGTTTGAGTCAGCAACTGACATGGTCACTTTTACATTTTAAAAGTACTATGGTTATAGGCAGAGTGGATTAGAGGAGAGTCAAGAATGGGAACCAATTTGGGGCACCAGATGAGAAATAAGGGCCTGAAATAAGGTGATGTTAGAAAAGCTAGGATGAAACAGATGACAGCCATGTAAACAACTGATGCTCAATAGGAATGTAGTGAGTCCTAAATGCTAGCCACATATATAATTTAAAAAATTTCTAGTAGCCACATTAGAAAAGCAAAAAGGAAACAGGTGAAATTAATTTTAGTATTATATTTTATTCACCTAAAATATTATAATTTTATTATATGTAATATTATATGTATTTTCAACCTAAAATATTATAATATTTCAACATGTGATCAATATAACATTTCTGAGGTGTCTTATACTCTTGTTTGGTATTGTTTTAAAAATCCAGTGTGTATTTCATACTGATAGCACATGTCAAATTTGGACCAGTTACATTTCAAATATCTATATATGGCTAGTAGCTGCCATATTGGATAGCACAGAACAGTTATAAAGGCTTCTGGACTAATTACATGTGGTGCACATGTGCATGCATGTGTGTGTGTGTGTGTATACATGCATGCGTTGGGAGCACAGAGGTAAGGAAACAAAAGGCAATAACTGTGACTCCAGGCTTTGTTCCTGCTGGTTATTGCCATTGATGGAGACAGTAAGTATAGAGGCAGGAAGAGGTCTGTGTAGGAAGATAATGACTTTGTGTTTGACCTTGGGGCATGCAGATGGAAACATTTTGCAGGCAGTTGAAATTTGGCCCTGGAGCTCAGGTGGCACCTCTGCTGGAGAGTTTGTGTCTAGAGCAGTTTGTAGATTTCATTGAACACATGGGTGTATATGCTTTAGCCCATGGATAGTGCACAGACAAGAGAGAGAAAGTCGAGAACAAGATACTAGGGGACTGCAGCACTATTTGCAAGAGCTAGGACACGGAAGCAACCTAGATGGCCATCAACAGATGAATGGATGAGAAAGCTGTGGTACATATACACAATGGAATATTACTCTGCTATAAAAAAGAACACATTTGAGCTATTTTCAATGAGGTGGATGAACCTAGGACCTGTTATACAGAGTAAAGTAAGTCAGAAAGAGAAAGACAAATATTGAATATTAATGCATCTATAGAGAACCAAGAAAGATAGTACTGACGATCCTATTTGCAAGGCAGCAAAGGAGACACAGACATTTTGGACACAGTGGGGGAAGGAGATGGTAGGATGATTTGAGAAAATAGCATTGAAATATATATATATTGCCGTATATAAAATAGATAGCCAGTGGGAGTTTGATGTGTGATGAAGGGAACCCAAAGCAAGTGCTCTGTGACAATCTAAAGGGGTGGGATGGTGAAGCAGGTGGGAGAGGGGCTCAAGAGGGAGGAGACCTATGTGTACCTAATGTCGATTCATGTTGGTGTGTTGTAAAAACCATCACAATATTGTAAAGTAATTATCCTCTAATTAAAAAAAAAGATACTAGGGGAAAATCCCAGTTTAAGGGATTAATAGGGGAACTAGGTTCTGCAGAGGAGGTCAAAAGGAACACGAAAGAAGCAGAAAGGATTGCACAGGAGCGGATTTACAGAGGTTGAGAGAAGAGACCATGGTGTTCACAGGGTCACAGGCTAGAGGGTGAGCACAGGTTTGCTCATTGGCCTGACGGTAACCTGTTCCTGTTGCCCTTTCAGCTGGGCTCAGAGGGGGCAGAGGAGACGCTGGAGAGAATTGGGGTGTGGGTGGGTGACATCAGCAGTCTGTTATCCCAGGGCAGGCTGCTGTGGTCATCGCTTCCTCTTGCTGTGACAGGTCATTTTATTTCACCCCCAGTTGTTAAGAGCCCCCGTGCCCATCCACAGCCCCTTCCCACAGGCCTGAGAAAGACACCTGGCACTTGCGTCCATCCACGATCCTCAGGTCCTCCTCAAACTCCACTCCCACCTCGAATTCCAGAATGTAGTTCCGGAAGGTGCTGAGGGTCTTCACCGTCATGTGGTTGCCCTGCTGGTCAATTTCCTTGTCCGGCTTGAGCAGCAGGGCAATCTTCCGCAGAGCCATGTTGATATCTGTAGGGACCGTCTCTGAGCAAGGGTCTGAGGGTCCTTTTAGTGGGCCAGGGGCTTCCCCACCCGCATCAGCAGCTGGAAGCATCCCCTTGCCCGGGTCTGGGACTGGGGATTTACTTCCTCCTAGTAATGCCCCTGGTTAGAAAAGGGGCCCAAGTCAGGGGCCAGCACCCCCTACCCCCAGCCTGTCCATGATGTCCAGGCCCTAGCATCCCCCCACTCCTCAATGGAGTCAGAGGCAGGAAGGGGGAGGAGAGGAGGGGAGTGAAAGGGTTGAGAGGGGCAAGGCCATTACTCAGAGCTTGCAGGTAGTCCTCCAAGTTCTTCTGCGAGACGAAGCGGTAGTAGCCAGTGAGGTTGGGAGGCATGGTCTAGGCAGGCCAAGGTAGAAGTCAAGATTTCAGGAGAATATAAGAGAGTGGGCAAGGAGGTAGGGGGTGTCCTCTGACAGGTGGGGCTGGGAGTCTCCCAGCCAGGCTCTGCACACACTGAGGCAGTCTGTGTAAGGTCCGAGCTACCAGGGTTTTTATAGCACCGGGGCCCTGCTGCAATAAGAGTTCCTGCCAGATTTTCTCCCTCCTTCCCCCATCATGAGCATGAGATTGGTGTCTGCAGCCCCAGAGATGGGCAGGAGACTTGGCAAGGCTGTGCCTGACCTCGGCTTTTCCTGAGGAAGGAACCTGGACCAAGACTGGGGGCTGTCAGTCAGGCAACACTTGAGCCTTTCCGAAGGTCAGTTCTGGCTTCCAGCCCATGTGTGGAAGGCTTGGGAACTGTCTGGAGCCCCTGGGGGGTACACTCCCCCAGGAGGGAGCCGATCTTACTGAATGGCGGGGAGGGACCTTTCGGACTCACACAAGGATGAGTTTTAACAATATCTCACCTGAGATCCTGGGGTTGGGTCAGGGATCCCAAAAGGTATGAAGGGGAGGAGGAGGTGGGGAAAGAAGTGCAGACAGCCAGCTGGCTGGGAGCCCCAGTGAAGAAAATCCTCGAGCTGGCCCCCACAGCTTGGTCACACAGCTCTGCTGAGCTGGGGCCCCAACGCTGGAGTTCAGGACCCTGTCCTGCAGGACCGTGAGGAGGGAAGCAGAGAAATTGCGGAGGAGGCTGTCTGACTTGCTGAGTTCAAAGTCTGGAGCAGAAGGTGAGGGAGGAGTTTGGCTGGCTGTTCTGGAGAATTCTACACTCTTTGGCTTGGGACCCAGGGATTTCCCCTCTCCCTCTGGAGTCGTGGATGGCACCATCACCTACCCTCATCCCTAGCCCTTGCACAGTCCATGCTTCCCAGATGTATTCCCTTGGAGGCGGAGGTGGTGTGCTCTAGCCCTCCCCTCCCCCCTCCCCACCACACTACACCGCACTCTTCTCTGCCTCTCAGACCTACCAACTTTTCTGGCTTCTGAACCAACTAGGGTGGTTTGGGTCAACACGGTTTAAGATGAGAAATTTGGGGAGAGGGAGGCAGGCATGGTAGACAGCAGGAAAAAAGGCGGTGAACCGTCCTGACAGGTGTGTGGGGGTGGGTGGGGGAGGTGGGGCACAGACATCTCGCTTTTCCTCGGGTCCCAGGGCTCGGCCCACCGACTTGCTGACCACCCCCTGGCTTCCTCAGAGACTCGGGGCTGGGACCTTTTGGCTAGCATCTCGGGCTCAGGTCGTGGGTTTTACTCGGCGGTTCCCAGGAGGCACCCAGCAGGGTCTTGCTGATGGAAGGGGCTGTGAGAAGAGGTTAATGCAGAGTCGGTGGTGGTGGTGGTGGGGTGACGTGGATACTTGTTCCTCCTCGCCTCCCTCAGGTCTCCGTTTGACGTCTCCTCTTCCCACCCCCGGCTTCTAGCTGCGCGATCCTCTCCCTGTCCCTCTTTCCCCCCACCTCCTCTACGGCTTTCCAGCTTCCTCCCTAGCCCCCGCAGTTCCCTTGCTCCCCCAAATTGCAGTCCGGGGAAAAAGCCCTAATATGTCCTCCCGCCCCTGCTCCCCAGTCCCATTGGCTCCCTCCCGCCCTGCAGCACCTGGCCCCCCCAGCCACCTGATTGGCCAGCGGCCCCATCAATCCTCGCCTGGCCGTGCTGACGTCATCCTGCAGTAGCGGGGATGGGGTGGGAATGAGCGAGAGAGAGAGTGAGGACGCCCGGCTCCAGAACGAAGGAGAAGCAGCCACTGCCGGTTCCCCCCTGCTCAGCCGCCCAGGTTGGGGTCTGCCCGGGTCTGCCCTATGGACTAGGGTGGGCGGCAGGCTCCTTTCCGTCTCTGCCCTGCTGTCTGCCCTCTCCCCTCTCCTCTTCGGAGAGCCCCAGCATCCCTTGCCCAAGGTGGAACAAGCAGGGCTCCAGGCTCTGGGGGAGAGCAGTCGGGGCCCTGCCTTGCCTACACCACGCCATGACCCCCCTGCTGTTTCCCCTCTTGCTGGCCTCCCTGCTCCCCTCCAGCTCCTGTAACAAAGGTGAGTGTGGTGGTGGTGGGGCACAGAGGGAGGGGGTCTCAGGCCCCGCGATGTGGAGGTCGAGGCGGGCAGGTGCCCTTTAAGGCTCCCTGGGGCACGACAGGTGGTTCTTCGCACCATCCCCCTTCCCATCCATTTTCCCAGACCTGTCCCCTTCTCTTCTGGCTGGCATCCCCAGAACCTCTCTCTGGTCCCTCCTTTCTGGTCCGTCTCTACCCATGTGTTTCTTTTGCTCCCAGGTTGGTCCCCATTCCCATCCTGGGGTCTGTATCTTGTCCCCCCACCCCCCCACTATTGCTCCCTGCTGGAGCGATCTCGGGTCTCAGAAGGACCTGTCCCTGAGGGGGGTGATGGACCTCTCTGGGCGGGTCCCCGTTTCACGGGGTGTGCCGGCGCTGAGGGTGTGTGGCCATATCCATCTGGTCCCTCTCCATCTCATCCCGGGGAGGAACTGTTCCCGCAGTTCAGCAATTCGGAGCACGTATGTGTTGGCGTGTTCCTCTGCATCCATCCCCTTCCGCCTGCATACACGGCTGGGCTGAGGGTTACCAGAGCTGCCCTCTCTTGCAGACGGCTGATAAATTTAGCTGGGGTGAGGCCGTTAGAGGGGCCAGGAGAGAGGGAGGGGGTGAGGGCCAAGGGTTTAGTTAGGTGGAGACCGCAGGAAAGGGCAGAGGTGTGTGTGTGTGTGTGGGGGGGGTGCTAATGAGTGGGGAGAGGGGAAGGGAGAAGGAGAAGGGAGGTGAAGCGTGGGAGGGGATGAGAAGGGGATGGACCAGGGTCAAGGTAGAGGCAAAAGGAGAGGGGGAGAAATCCGGAAGAACAGGTGAGTAGCGGGTGAGGGGAAGAGCTCAGGAGGGAGGAGGCAGGGAGTCCAGGAGTCAGTGAGAGGAGATGGACAGAAGGAGAGAGTCAGGGGCCAAGAGGAAGGAAGCGGGGAGGTCCGGGAGAGGGGGCAGGGCGAGGGGTGGTGGTGAGCTGTGTGCAGTCTCTCCATCTTCAGCACAGTCTCTGACCTCAGTGGGCTTCTTAGCCTCCGGACACATCCTGTGCTGCCTTCTAGGCACCATCTGTGGCTTTCTCCTCTGACCCTAGGGAAGGGGGTTGTGGTGGTCCTCAGCGAGGAAGGGGCAGGCATATGAGATACCAGAACGCTTTGGGGGTGTCACTGGAGGAAAGAATGGAAATCAGGATTTCTCGCTCACCATGACAAGCTGGGGATGAGTGTCCTTTGGGTGACTCAGTTTCTCTATGACGATAAGTCTTCAGGTCTCAATGATGGGCCCTTGTGGATGTGCTTTGGGAGCTTGGCTCTTTGGCTTGATTGGATTCGATAGAGCAGGCAGTGGAAGTTGGGGTTGGGGGTGATGTAGAGGGGGATGGAGCCCACTGAACCTTCCCCAGAGCCAATGGCGAGTGGGCATTTGGTCCTGGGAGGAGACGGGATTGAGTTGAGTCTGGTAGCGGTTGAGGAGACATGGAGGCTGAGTGGGTTGCACTCCTGTCGTGGATTGCCTGGTGGTTGAAGGGAACAGGGGTGGGATAGGCGAGAATTAGGACTCAGCCATGACTCCCTAAGAAGGGGGTTCTGGGCGTGTGGGGTTTGGTGGCCTTCTGGGGGACATAGGAGTCAGCTGGTTATGATTATGAGTGTGTTCTTTTGGGTGTGAGAGTGAGAAGCAGGGAGGGGATTTGTCGAGTTTCTAGGCCAGTTCGATAATCCCTGAGGATGCCAGCTCTGCTGGGCCCAGTGGTTTGGCATTGATTCCTCTGCTCCATCCCTGCCCCTCTCTGTCCCCCTCCCTCTGTCCTATATATCTCCCTTCTCCCTTCTCTCCTCTTTCCTCTCCTCTGGGAGAATGGCCTTAGGATGGGGCTTAGCCAGGAGAAGAAGGGAACAGGACTGAAATGGGGTGGTGGTCGTGATGGAGAGGATCAACAACAGGACCTCAGGAAATGTCTAGTCTTCTTTTCCTAATCTCCACTCTGCCCTTAATCTATCCCTTCCCTTTCCTAGGGCCCTCTAATGGCCCATTGCTGCTCCCTGGAGGCCCAACGTCCACACTCCAGCACTTGAAATGCCTAAGAAAAGTCTCCATCCTTTGATGGTTTCCCAGGGGAGATAGCAGGACCTCTTCCTCCCCCCAGGGCAAGCTGTTGCCATGGAAACTGTCTATCTAGTGACCTCCCGCAGGCCCTCTGACTCCTTTCATGGCTGATTTCTTGCCCTCAGCCCTTCCTCCTGCAGGCGCTTCTGCAGGGGCTGAAGAGGGTGGTGAGCCTGGAGTGTGCTGTTTAGGTCAACAAGGGTTGTGTGGCTGTGGAGGGCCAGCTCACAGGTGCTTCCTCTCCTCTCCCTGGGGGCGGGGTCAGCCAACAAGCACAAGCCGTGGATCGAGGCAGAGTACCAAGGCATCGTCATGGAGAACGACAACACGGTCCTGCTGAACCCACCGCTCTTTGCGTTGGACAAGGATGCTCCCTTGCGGTATGCAGGTAAGTAGGGCTGGGGCAGGGCAGGGCAGGTGGGACAGAGAGAAGTGGGCAGGACAGAGAGAAGTGGGCAGGGAGGGCAGGGGCAAGGGAGGAGAGGGGAGGTCCTGGGAGGGAGAGCAGTGAGGACTTGGGCAACGTGGAAGAAGGAGGCTCCAGGAGGGAGCCGGGTGATGGTGGAGATCAGTGGCACAGTAAAGGGAGTCAGAGGAGGATGTGGGCAGGCAGGGGTTAACGCATCCAGATTTTGCCAGCTCTCAGAGCTGGTGGCTCAGAGGTTGTAGCTCAGGGAACCTGGGGTTGGAGTGAATGTTCCATAATTAATGCTTTTCCATGTGCAAGAAAAAGGACTGGGTCTGGGAGGAGAGGTGAAGTGGGGGCCTGAGGGGAGGTCGGCGAGCGATGGAAGGAGACCCTGGAAGTGGAGCAGGAACCTCATCCTTACCTCCCCAACCCCCTGCCCCTGGCCAGGTGAGATCTGTGGCTTCCGGCTCCATGGGTCTGGGGTGCCCTTTGAGGCCGTCATCCTGGACAAGGCAACAGGAGAAGGGCTGATCCGGGCCAAGGAGCCAGTGGACTGCGAAGCCCAGAAGGAGCATACCTTCACCATCCAGGCCTATGACTGCGGCGAGGGCCCGGACGGGGCCAACACCAAGAAGTCCCACAAGTGAGGACATCCCTGCCCCTGCCCTTGCCCTCTGCTGCAGGTGGCCCGCCCCCCCCCCCCAAGACCAGGCCCCTTCCTTCCCTCTGTCCTCACCGTCTTGACGATCTACCCCCTCCCCTCTTTGTTCATGGGGTTTAGGAGCCTTCAGCCAAGGGAGACAGGAGCATGTGGTGAAGCTCAGAGGGACCCAGTCTGGGCTCTATCTCTTTTGACCACGGACAGCTTTAGTCTTTCTGGATTTGCTTTCCCTTGTCTGTAAAATGGAGCAATGATGATGCCTGCTTCTTCAGGTCACTGTGAAGATGAAAGGAGATGGTTTGTGTCAAAAGCAGGCACTGCAGTGCCTGCCAGTTGGGAAAGGATTAAATACACAGAGACAGGATACTACGAGAGTGAGGAGGAGGATGGCACTTTAGTACACACCCGGATTCCTTCCCACTGCCCGGCACTGTGTGTACCACACTCACACATAGAACGTGCACTATGCAGATGCACAGCAGTGGGTAAGAGTGGGCAGGAAGGAGGCTGGGACCTGGGACTCCTACCTCTATCTGCTCCCAGCTCACTTCTCACTTGAGAATGGTGGGAAGGTGGGCAGTCAGGACTCCCGGGTCACTATGAGGCGCTGGATATAAATTGCTTTGCGTGATGACTCAATTTCCCATTTGGAGATAGGACCTTTGCCTCTGGGCTTTGGGTGCCTGGATTTGGGCTGGGGGCAGGGCTCAGCATGAAGGGTTTCACCCCACCCCCGCCTCCTCTGCTTGCCCTATGGGGTCCGGAGTGGGGAGCAGCCACAGCTCACTGCACTCATCAGATGACTTGAGACTCTGGTACAAAACCACTTCTCTGAATATGTGTGTGTGCTCAGTTGCTTCAGCTGTGTCCAACTCTGCAACCAGCCCCATGGCTCCTCTGTCCATGGGGTTCTCCAGGCAAGAATACTAGAGTGGGTTGCCATGTCCTTCTCCAGGGGATCTTCCAGACCTAGGGATTGAATCTGTGTCTCCTGCTTCTCCTGCATTGCAGGCAGATTCTTTACCGCTGAGCCACTGGGGAAGTCACTTCCCTGAATATGGTTAGTTTTATTTTGGCTTTTATTCTGCATCTGCCTTGATTGGACCTGACTTCATGAAAAAACAACCTGCTGGATTCAGAATCCTGTCTCACATGTCTTGCCATCCTATCCTTTAATATTCTGTACAGAAGTCATCAAAACCAGCCACTGATGGCCCCCAGGGTCATTTTCACCATGTACATCAGTCACCCTTTCTTCTGAGGTTCCTCTCTCTTTGTGGTACCTGGTACCCCTGGGTGGGGGTCAGATGAATGTGACCAGGCTCTGGGTCACACTGGTTCTATCTCCTTGGCTTCCGGTGTGGACCCCCATCTCTGGCTGACTCTTCCTTCTTCTCTTTTTGCGCTGGCACCCACAGGGCCACCGTGCACGTGCGGGTCAATGACGTGAACGAGTTTGCCCCAGTGTTTGTGGAGCGGCTGTACCGCGCGGCAGTGACCGAGGGGAAGCTATACGACCGCATCCTTCGGGTAGAAGCCATCGATGGCGACTGCTCCCCCCAGTACAGCCAGATCTGCTATTACGAGATCCTCACGCCCAACACCCCCTTCCTCATCGACAACGATGGTGAGTCCAGTCCCTGCCACTCCAGCTGTTCAGCCCTGGGCGCCCACATCCCTCGTGATGCCCCGGGGCTGCACCCTCCACTTGTTCTGCCCCTCACCTCCTTATTCCTCACCCTGCTTTCCAGACATGGAACTTCTTTCCCCAGATTCCTTCCTGCCTGCTTCCTGCTGCCTAATTCACCTGCTGCCCTAAAGTTAGCTCCCGAGTCCTCCCCCAGACTTGCTTTGGTGCCCCTGATCCTCTCTGTCCCCCACCCCAGGGAACATTGAGAACACGGAGAAGCTACAGTACAGTGGCGAGAAGCTCTACAAGTTCACGGTGACAGCTTATGACTGCGGGAAGAAGCGGGCGGCGGACGATGCCGAGGTGGAGATCCAGGTGAAGCCCACGTGTAAACCCAGCTGGCAAGGTGAGGGGCTACGCGCCGGGGCCTGTGATCCATCCTTCCCCTTGGTCTCCCTCCTCCTCCCTTCTGACAACCACAGGGGCCAGGCTAGGAGCTGGGGACGGATATTTGGTGGGGGCCACCTGATGCGAAGAGCTGACTTATTGGAAAAGACCCTGATGCTGGGAAAGATTGAGGGCAGGAGGAGAAGGGGACGGCAGAGGATGAGATGGTTGGATGGCATCATCGATTCAATGGACATGAACTTGGGCAAACTCTGGGAGATGGTGAGGGACAGGGAAGCCTGGCGTGCTACAGTCCACGTGGGTGGACACGACTGAGCAACTGAACAACGACATTTGGGGGGCAGGCTTGTAGCTGTCTCCCCTGGCTGGCCATTTTCATATGAACCTGAGACCATCAGTGAACATGAGCAGAATGGGTAGGAAGGGTTGCCTTAACCGGCTCTGCCCCACTGCTTGCTCCTTCTCACCCCTGCAGGCTGGAACAAAAGGATTGAATATGCACCAGGCGCTGGGAGCTTGGCTCTGTTCCCTGGTATCCGCCTGGAGACCTGTGATGAACCTCTCTGGAACATTCAGGCCACCATAGAGCTGCAGACCAGCCATGTGGCCAAGGGTTGTGACCGTGACAACTACTCAGAGCGTGCACTGCGGAAACTCTGTGGTGGGTGTTGTCCCCTGTGGCCCTCCCCCCATCCTCCCTGCCTGTGCCCATCGCCCATTCCCCCAGCCTTTTCCCGACCCTCCTTTACCTCTCTAAGAATCTGTCTTGGGACTTCCCTAGCAGTGTAGTGGTTAGGACTACATGCTTTTCACTGCAGAGGGCACAGGTTCAATCCCTGGTTGGGGAACTAAGATCTTGCAAGCCATTCTGTGCCCAAAGACAAAAAGAATCTGTTTTACATCTTCCTCTGCCCATCCATAAGTGGAGTGAAAGTTGCTCAGTTGTGTCCAACTCTTTGCGACCCCATGGACTTTACAGTTCATGGAATTCTCCAGGCCAGAATACTGGAGTGGGTAACCTTTCCCGTCTCCAGGGACCTTCCCAACCCAGGGATCCCGTATGGCAGGTGGATTCTTTACCAGCTGAGCCACAAGGGAAGCCCAAGAATACTGGAGTGGGTAGCCTATCCCTTTTCCAGCAGATCTTCCTGACCCAGAAATTGAACCGGGGTCTTTGCATCGCAGGCAAATTCTTTACCAACTGAGCTACTAGGGAAACCCATCCATAGATGTATATATATCAGAGCTTCCCAGGGGGCGCTAGTGGTAAAGAGCCTACCTGCCAATGCAGGAGACATAAAAGAGACTCAGGTTTGATCCCTGGGTGGGGAAGATCCCCTGGAGGAGGGCATGGCAACCCACTTCAGTATTCTTGCCTGGAGAATCCCATGGACAGAGGAGCCTGGTGGGCTGCAGTCCATGGGGTTGCAAAGAGTTGGGCACGACTAAAGTGACTTAGCATAGCACACAGAGACGTCTGTATCTATGGGGGTTGTAGCTTGTGGTTGTCTCTTGTGGCCCAAAGAGCACATAAACATGTGGTTGGCAAAGGTACATGATTGTGGCCCAAGAAAATCACCAGATACAATACGGAAAAATGGCAGGGAGCGATGAAGAGCTGAAGGCGCTGAGGTCACTGGAGAGCTATTCCTAGCCCTTCCTTTCTTATCTCTGAAAGGCCAGAGGAGGTGGTGAAAGTAGTTGTAAGGGATCTTTTCCTGCCTGCATCCTGTCCCCCATCTGCCGCCTCTTGGCTCTGACACCTGTGCTTCTGGGACTCCTGCAGGCGCGGCCCCCGGGGAGGTGGATCTGCTGCCCATGCCCGGCCCCAGTGCCAACTGGACGGCGGGCCTCTCGGTGCACTACAGCCAGGACAGCAGCCTCATCTACTGGTTCAACGGCACCCAGGCGGTGCAGGTGCCCCTGGGGGGTGCTGCGGGGCTGGGCTCCGGGCCCCCGGACAGCCTCAGTGACCACTTTACCCTGTCCTTCTGGATGAAGCATGGTGTCACTCCCAACAAGGGCAAAAAGGAAGAGGAAACCATCGTGTGTAACACTGTCCAGAATGGTGAGCCTTCTTTGGGGCACCCGTCTGAGCGTGGAGGGGGGGACTGGCTTCGTGTTCCCCCTCTGTTACTGTCCAGTCGGTGACTGTGGGTGGGTCACTCTCTCTCCCTTCGTATGTAAGATGGCAGCGCTGGGTTTCACAGTGGTTTCACAGTCCCAGCAGGTTTCACGATCCCAGCAGGATCCTACTGCTCTCAGCATGATGGGACTGCTCACTGCCCTTCTCATTTGTAGCTGCCTGATCGCCTTGCATCCCCTGTGTAGTAGACTGCTCCCCCAATCTGCTCCCCGTAAAGCCCCCTATCAAAATGGAAGAACCTGAGTAACGCTGTGCCCCATTCTTTCCCTTTCACCACCACTCTGTCCTCCTCCTATAAGGGCTCGTGAGCGCCAGCCTTCAGGACCCCCTTCCCTCTATGGCAGGGGGATGTCCCTCTCAGGGGGGCTCAGCCTTGAACTACTCTTTCATTCCTGCCTCTTCTTGGAGCTCATGTCTCTTGATCTGAAAAGGATCATTACCCATGAAGTTTGTATTAACCAAAGGGACAGTGAAGTTCTGGGTAGGGGCAGGTTGGTCACTGTCTCCCCTCAGCCAATCAGAGTGCCTGAGAAAAGCCCAACTCTGGACTCTGTGTGTATGTGTGAGAGTCTCAGAGAGAGCTGGAGAGAGAGTGACAGATTCTGGAGAATTAGAGACAGAGAGAACCTGAAGGAATGAAGGAATAAAGAGAATCCAGGGAGCCCTCCCTTCTGGCGCTTTGAAGCTGTCCTTGCCTCCAGCGCTGTGTCTGACTCCTGTCCCCCTCCTCTGCCCTCAGAGGACGGCTTCTCTCACTACTCGCTGACCGTCCACGGCTGCAGAATCGCCTTCCTCTACTGGCCTCTACTTGAGAGTGCCCGGCCAGTCAAGTTCCTCTGGAAGCTGGAGCAGGTGAGGCTGGAGCCAGGCTCCTGGGAAAGCTGGGTGGGTGTAACTTGCTTTCAGGGGAGGAGGTCCTAGGGCAGGGCTGGGCATTTCCTGGGTTGCCTTGCGCCCCTTTTCTCAATCTCCACTTTCAGTTCCTGACTATTCTTACATCCCCCTGCCCCTCTGCCCTGGCTCCATTCTCTGGTTCTCTTTTCCCAAGGCTTGTCTCCTGCAGAAAGCACTCCTGGGTTAAAAGGAAATAGGGACCAAATTACTGCTTACACCAAACCAACCAATCATCCGTCTCCTCTTGTTTTATTTCATCTCTTTCTTATCTGGAAACTTAGTAGTGTGGATTCCAAACTCTCAAGCATTTAGCATGTTGTAATCAAGGAAATAAGTAACCTCGGGTACCTCGATAGGGTTTTGGGCTTCCCTGGTGGCTCAGATGGTAAAGACTCTGCCTGCAATGCAGGAGACCTGGGTTTGATACCTGGTTTGGGAAGATCCCCTGGAGAAGGAAACAGCTACCCACTCTGATATTCTTGCCTAGAAAATTCCATGGGCAGAGGAGCCTGGCAGGGTACAGTCCATGGGGCCACAAAGAGTCAGACACGACTGAGCAATTGAACACATATATGTATATAAATCCTCACTATTATTCATGATTATGAGGGATAAATAAAATGATCAAAAAAAAAAATCTCTTGAGCTAACAGTTGCAGCCTCTTCTTTATTCATCTCCAAGCTGACCACAGGTACCATGGGGACTAATTGAATTTCCATCTCCTTCTGTTTTTCTTGTAAGCCCTGGTGGAGTGGCTGAGTAAGCAAATGGCTGAAAAAAGACAGGAAGTGGAAGAGAGAGAAAGGGGAATGAAAACCCACAAACTGGATAATTGAGGGCTACCTACAAAAGCTTCTGTTTTCTGTGGCACTCTTTTAAAGAGATAGTCTACCATCTGCTTCTTCTTGATCTTTCCCCCACATTGCTAATATTGGTAACATTCTTCTTGCTATTTTTCTTTTATTTATCCTTATTTATTCAACAAAGATTTAGTAAATACAAGTGCCCTGCCATTCTGCTAGGTTATGGGGATACAATGCGATCTAAGACGGAATGAAATCTCTGCCTTCATTGAGTTTACATTTTAGTTGGGGAGATAGATTTTTAAAAGTAAGCAGACATGTAATAAGAGCTTCCCTGGTGGCTTAGATGGTAAAGAATCCACTTGCAATGCAGGAGACCCAGATTTGATCCCTAGGTTGGGAAGACACCTTAGAGAAGGGAATGGCTACCCACTCCAGTATTCTGGCCTGGAAAACTCTATGGACAGGGAAGCCTGGTGGGCTATAGTCCATGGGGTCGTAAAGAGTCAGACTTGACTGAAAAACTAACACTTTTACTTTTCAGCATAATAAAAATGATAAATTGTGCTAATGCTCTGAAGGAAGAATCAAGGAACTGAAGTAGAGAATAGGAGGCAAGGAGAGGGGAAGTCATCTCAGATTGGATGTTCAGGGAAGGCCTGATGGAAGCCAAATGTAAGCTCATCCTGAAGAATCCAGGCAGAGGGAAGAGCAGATGCAAAAGTCCTGAGGCAGAAAAGTGTCCAGCATGTTCCAAGCGTGGAAAGAGGGCCAGGCCCAGTGAAAAGGGCAGACACTGGGTTTGAGGTTGGAGAGCTGGGCAGTGGTCAGGTGTATGGTGGACTTTGTCAGCTAAAGTTATTTGCATTTTGTGCTATGAGAGATGGGAAGTCTTTTGAAAGGTTTACAGCGGGATGCGGCCTGATCAGATTCACATGTTAAGAAGATCCTTTTGTATATGTATGTGTATAATTACTTTACTTCGCTGTACACCTAGAACTGGGGCTTCCCTGGTGGCTCAGTGGTAAAGAACCTGCCTGCCAGTGCAGGAGATGTGTGTCTAATCCCTGGGTGGGGAAGAACCCCTGGAGAAGGAAATGGAAACCCTCTCTAGTATTCTTGCCTGGAAAATCCCATGGACAGAGGAGACTGAAGGGCTGCAGTCCATGGGTCTGCAAAAGAGTTGGACAGGAATTAGTGACTAAATAACATCACCACCTGAAACTAATGCAATACTGTAAACCAACTATACTCCAATTAAAAAAAAGAGTCCTAAATTTTTAAAGGCGTTGCTCCACCAAATTTGGGATATATTTCTCAATTAACGATAAGTTTCTGTTGCGAAAATATTAATAATTTTTCTAATTTTGCTTCTGAAAAGATTGGTTACAAGTAATGTATTTAATTTGCAATTAGCTGTGATTTTTCAATAATTGTCATTTATATTTGTGAACATTTGTGAAGTGAGGAGAATCCAATCTTTTCAAGAATAATGACTTGTTAGTGAATACTGTTTGACAACATTAAATTTGGTAGTGATTTAAACATTGAAAAAAGGAAGGCAATCCCTTTGGGAACTATGGGAGGAGGATATCAGAGAGAACCGAGCGTAAGTGCTCAGATGAGGGTGTTGCAATAATACACATGAAAAAGGGTTGGGAGGACTTCCTTGGTGGTTGAGTGGTTAAGACTTTGCCTTCCAGCACAGAGGGTGCAAGTTCCATCCCTGGTGGAGATGGTGGAGAGGCTAAGATCCCACATGCCTTGGGGCCAAAAAACCAAAACATAAAACAGAAACAATGCTGTAACAAATTCAATAAAGAGTTTAAAAATGATCTACATCAAAAAAATCTAAAAAGGAAAAGAAAAAAAAAAGAAAGACTGAGGATGGGAATGATGTGTGGAAATGGAGACTAAAGAAAACTGCAGAGAAACCTGTAGCTTTTAGTTCTGTCTGGACTTGGGATGGGCAGCATCTGCCAAAGGACACTGTGGTGCTCCTCTTAGGAATGTTGATGGAGTTAAAGGTTTATGGAAAGAGTGGAATTTTAGGTAGTTTAGGTATGAGGTTGAGCCTGATCCATTCTGGGCAAGGATTCCTTGAGCTGGGTTGGCAGCAATTCACTAGCAAGCCCTGTTGATAGACCAGGGAATATGAAGGACTGTCTCCTGCCCCCCAGGGGGTGGGCCAGTGCCTGGGGCTCCTTCCTGGGGATGCAGTAACCGAGGGCTTCCTGCCCTTCCCCGTTCCCAGGTCTGCGATGACGAGTGGCACCACTATGCTTTGAATCTCGAGTTCCCCACGGTCACACTCTATGCAGATGGCATCTCTTTCGACCCCGCCCTCATCCACGACAATGGTCTCATCCACCCGCCCCGAAGGGAGCCTGCGCTCATGATTGGGGCCTGCTGGGCTGGTAAGTCCCCCTGCCTCAACCCCGAGCTTCTCCATGGAGGTGCTCATGGTAGAGGTGCCCAGTGGTTGGTGGAGGAGCAAGGGCAGCTTGACCTTATGACCTCGTCTCCCTGAAGTTGGGCAGGGAGGCTGGAAAAGCTCTCCACTGGAGGAAACCACCGCCCCTCTGGTCTCCTGCCTCCTGGACTGGTCATCCCCTCTGACTCAGGCATCACCAGCATCTCACTTTCTGTACCTGCAGCCGCTTCATACTTTGATCTGTCCCCGTCTTAATTTCACAGCCTGTTCCTCTGCTGGAGGACAGTAACCCTGCAGAGAGTCAGCAACATGCAATTACAACTGTGGAGACATTGTCAAACTTAGAAATTCATGTTGAAAGCAGATAGCTAGATTTATACAGCATTTTTTCAGTTCACTAAATCCAATAAAAATTTCAAAGAGATCGTCCTGGTGGCATCACAAACTTAAAATGGACACTTCTCAACTCTGAGGCAAACAGGCAGTTTGAACACCTGCATATAATTTCATTCCTTGACAGAGTCATTAAAATGACACCAAAGGGGTTTTTTAAATGATGGAAATACAAAGAGGGAAAAAGAAATGTTTGGAAGCTCTAAGAGTGACAGGGGTGGTGGCTGCCTCTACAGACACACACACACACGGAGAATCCTGGCCAGCTCTGGGGAAGCAAGACCTGGTTTTAGCCGGGAGTCCTGAAGACCTAAGACCTGGCAGCTCCAGAAACCCCTTGAGGTGGACACACAGTGCCCGTGAGGACTGGGGTCTATACATGAAATCAGACCTAGATTCCCTTCCCTGCTGGCTCATATGGTAAAGAATCTGCCTGCACTCTGCCTGCAGGAAACACTGGCTTGATCCCTGGATTGAGAAGATCCTATGGAGAAGGGGCTGGCAACCCACTCCAGTATTTTTGCCTGCAGAATTCCATGGAGAGAGGATGGGGTCATAGGGTCATGGGGTCATGGGGTCACAGAGTCAGACACAACTGAGGGACTAACACAACAACAGATTACCTCTGCACGCTGTTACCCTGGGTGTCCGACCTCACCCAGAGGTCCTTCACGGTGGGAGAGGCACAGTTGAGGGTGGGGTGCTGAAGTGAACTCCAGGAAATCAGGGGAAAGTGTGTTCTCCCTGCCAGCCCCCAGTCCTCTCCTGCCAGTGGGGATGGGAGGGTGTTACCTGATCAATGTGACCAGCCCAGGAAGAAAGTCTCCCTGGCAAAATGGCCCAGGAAGATCACTCTAAGGGGAGCTCAAAGTTAGCAAGCACACTGGGGTTCCGTCTGGTCCCCCAAGCCCCATCAGTGTCCTGCAAAGAGATAGGAAGATCCTGCTTTCATGGAACTAGAACAAAACACTATGAAAGAAGGAGAGAAAGGAAGGAAGGACAGAAAGACTCAGAAAACAAAGGTGATGTGAGTATGGTATGTGTGTTTGTGGTGTGTGTGGTGTGAATGTAGTGTGTGTGTGTGTGGTATGTCTCTGTGTGTAGTATGTGGTGTTTGCATGTGATTTGTTTGTGTGTGGTGTGTAGTATGTGTGTCTGTGGTGTATATGCGGTATGCTTTTTGTGTGATGTTTGTGTGCTGCTTATGGTGAGTGTGTAGTGTGTCTGTGTGATGTGTAGTATGTGCCTGTGGTGTGGTATAGTATGTGTGATATTGTGCATGACTGGTGTATATGCGTGTGGTATGTGTGTGTGGTATGTGTCTGTGTACGGTGTATGTAAAGTGTGTGAAGTGTATGTGGTGTATATGTGGTGTGGTGTTTATGTGTTGTATGTGTGTGTCCTCATGTTCCCCCAGTGGTTGCCCCACACAAGCACACAATAAGCAACATCTTTCTCAAGTGAAATTGCTGTGGAGACCTCCTGGGATTTGCACATGGTTCTGCGCAGAACTGAGTGGCTCCCCAGCCTGCAGCTAATACTTCCTGCTTATCGGGCAGCCCAGGTGTGAGAAAAGATGCCACAACTATAGGCTCAGTGTAAATGATTTCAAAAAATTTAGTAGACAGACACCTCATAGAGCAATGCTTCTGTAAAATCAGCATACACACAGAGACCCAGGAATTTCAATGGGATGCAGGACTAGGGTAGAGCCACTACTGTGGTCTGAATATTTGTGTGCCCCTAAAATTCACATGTGGAAACCCTAACCCCCAATGTGCTACTTTGGTGCAGCTGTGGGGTGGCCTCTGCCGGGACCCCTCCCTCCCCCGAGGTACTGAATGCTCACCACACACACAACCCCATGCAGCTCCCAAGCTGAAAGCAATGTGATGCTCCAGCCTCAGGGGTAAGCACAGTGCTTGGGCTCCGTCATGGCAACTAATGAGCATGTTTACCAGGAGGAACTTATCTACACTTTTTAAGAAGTCTGATTGTGGTTAACACACACACAAACATGCACGCATATGTGTGCACCCACCCACCAGGATGTTACACCTACAAGAGATGCCCACACACACACCTCCCAAAATGCGTGATTTGAATTACTATAATCCAATCTTAAATTATTTCATCACAAAAAAAGGCAGTGGTAACCATTGTTGTTGCTGTTAAGTCGTTCAGTCATGTACGAATCTCTGTGATCAGATGGACTGCAGCACACCAGGTTTCCCTGTTCTTCACCATCTCCCAGAGTTTGCTCAAATTCAAGTTCACTGAGTAAGTGATGCCATCCAACCATCTTATCCTCTGTTGCCCCCATCTCCTCTTGCCTTCAATCTTTTCCAGCATCACGGTCTTTCCCAGTGAGTCTGCTCTTCGCATCAGATGGCCAAAGTATTGGAGCTTCAGCTTCAGCATCAGTCCTTCCAATGAATATTCAGGGCTGATTTCCTTTAAGATTGACTGGTTTGATCTCTTTGCTGTCCAAGGGGCTCTCAAGAGTCTTCTCCAGCATCACAGTTCAAAAGCATTAATTCTTCAGTGCTCAGCCTTCTTTATGGTCCAACTCTCACATCTGTACATGACTACTGGAAAAATCATAGCTTTGACTAGATGGACCGTGGTTGGCAAAGTGATGTCTCTGCTTCTTAGCCTTTTGAATAAGATCAAGTGGTAACCATGTGATATGATAAAGAGAGCAGCTAACACTATGGTACTGGGGAGAATGCCCAAATTAAGTGAAATATGCTATCTTTTGTTTTGAGAAGAAAACTGCACTTCTATGCTTTATTTCTGGGGCAAATAATGACCAGGTTAGCTTCATCAAATACGTCTTCAGTAAACCCATGGGGAACTTGACTGATGGGTGGGAGAGCACATCAAGGTGACTATGCCATGGAGCTCCCTGGCCCTGATACAATTAAGCCAATGACACAGCCTCACCCTCTTGGATTCAGCTCTCACATCCTGGGTTACCTGAGCAGCCCAGCTGCCTTCTTCACTTCGCCCAGCATTGCTCCACAGAGGGCCTCCTTAGGGAGTGTGGGGGTTCCTGGGTCCTACAAGGGACAGTTTTGCTCCAGATTCCTGGTGAGGGACCCCGTGAGCCAAGTGGGTTGGCAGATGGGAACCAGGCTAGAGGTGAAAGCCTGGTATTTCACAATTCCAATCATGTGAATCAGATCACGGCTGGCCACCTCCAGCAGACAGGCACTGCACACATCCCTCCTGTTATCAGCAAAGATACACACAACTGCATATAAAATAGATAACCAACAAGGACCTACTGAATAGCACAGGGAATTCTACTCAATATCTTATAATAACCTATAAGGGAAAAGAATGTTAAAAAAAAAAAGAATATATATAAGCTCCCTTCCTCCCCCTCCCCAGTCCTGCTCTCAGCCCTGTCTGTGTCTGGGGCCCAGGTCCACGTGAACCCCTCGCAGTCCCTGCTCACCCTGGAGGGGGATGATGTGGAGACCTTCAACCATGCCCTGCAGCATGTGGCTTACATGAATACTCTGCGCTTTGCCACACCTGGCGTCAGGCCCCTGCGCCTCACCACTGCCGTCAAGTGAGTGTCCGGTGGGCGGGCAAGTCACAGAACAGAGCCAGACAGTGTCAGAACTCCTTGCCCTTAGATGCCACTGACGGCTAGACACATAATGCATCCCTCCCCTCTGGTTTTAGGGATGGAAAACTGACCTGCACAGCTGACACAGCAATGCTGCAAGAAGAGTTTGGACTAGACTCAGATTTTTCAACAATGAGTTCATTACTCTTCCCACTTGTTAGCTCAGATGGTGAAGAATCCGCCTGCAATGCAGGAGACCTGGGTTCAACCCCTGGGTCTGGAAAATCACCTGGAGTAGGATATGGCAACTCACTCCAGTATTCTTGCCTAGAAAATCCCATGGACAGAGGAGCCTGGTGGGCTACAGTCCATGGGGTCACAAAGAAGAGTCATACATGACTGAGCAGCTAACACATACTCTTCCCACCAAAGCACACTTCCAGCATTTAGGAGTTTTAATCTCTGTACCCCTGGGGTTGATATGTGAAAGGGGACAGAGGAGGGTCCTGGATTGGGCGCCAGGAGCGGTGGTTTGATCTCTCAGTTGTGTCCGACTCCTTTGCAACCCATGGACTCAACCCCCATGCTCCTCTGTCCATGGGATTTTCCAGGCATGAATACTGGAATGGGTTGCCATTTCCTTCTCCAAGGGATCTTCCTGACCCAGGGATTGAACCCATGTCTCCTGCATTGGCAGGCGATTCTTCACTGCTGACCCACCAAGGGAGCCCTTAAGTATATTAGTTATTTAAGAACACAGATTAATTAAGGGGTCATGAAGGGGTCATGAAAACACAAGAGTTATAGATACAGAGTTTTTACTTACTAGCTTTTTAGTACTGAGAAAGTGCCATCAAGCAGAGATAACAATAGAATCTGACTTATGGAATTGTTGTGAGAGCAAATGATAGAGTCCAGATCAAATGCCAGCAGAGTGCCTGTTTTGCACACTTATTGAAAGTGAAAGTGAAGTTGCTCAGTCACGTCCGACTTTGCAACCCTATGGACTGCAGCCTACCAGGCTCCTCCGTCCATGGGATTTTCCAGGCAAGAATACTGGAGTGGGTTGCCATTTCCTTCTCCAGGAGATCTTCCCGACCCTGGGATTGAACCCTGGTCTCCGGCATGGTAGGCAGACACTGTACCATCTGAGCTACCAGGGAAGTCCGTACACTTATTACCTGAAGGCATTTTCACCCTTTATGTTTGTGGGGCAGTTTTAAGAGCTTCTGCCCTCTAGTGGGTGCATCATACATTGCAGGGGTCAGGGTTTCTGTGTTCCCTTCTCCCCTGCTCTGCCTCAGTTTATCCAAAAGCTGTCTGAAGAGAAGCATCTCTTACTTGCCCCTATCCTGGCAGGAACGGGTTTGGAGAAGAAGCTCTGAGCTCCAGAGAGTGATGGGCATGGTTGTCAAGCCTCTCAGTTGAAGCTGTGGAATATGGGGCTAGGTTTGGGAAATTGGGCTGCTGGTCCATGGTGCAGTCCTGATGTGGAGCTGAAGGCTATGGGCAGATGAGTTCTCATGGACACAGATCAGCGCTCAGGATGGGCCCCACCAGCTTCCAGTGAGAACTCTAGCTGTTAAAGGGCTCTCATCCAGCTCTGAAGGTGCCAAGGGCTTCATCCCTCAGGGACCAAGAATTGATCTCATTTCTTTCATACGCTTAGGATGGAGCTTTGCAAGGGGCAGCCCCACAAGGTGGGAGTTGGCTCATCTGGATTCCTCTGACCTTCCCAGGGAAGAGGCTTATCTGAGGGGTGGGAACCTGAGCTCCTCCTTTAGTAGAGGGGAGGGGCCTTCTTCCTTTGTGAGGTTAAGAGGGAGGGAGGTCTCATTTCTCCGTTTCAGGGTTTCCATGTGGTTAGTGCAACACTAACACTTCATTGAGGGGCTTCCCTGGTTGCTCAGCTGGTAAAGAATCCTCTTGCAATGCAAGAGACCGTGACTCGATCCTGGGTGGGGAAGATCCCCTGGAGAAGGAATAGGCTACCCACTCCAGTATTCTTGGGCTTCCCTAGTGGCTCAGATGGGAAAGAATCTGCCTGCAATGTGGGAGATCTGGGTTCGATCCCTGTGTCAGGAAGATTCCCTGGAAGAGGACATGGCAACCCACTCCAGTACTCTTGCCTGGAGGATCCTGTGGACAGAGGAGCCTGGTGGGCTTCAATCCGTGGGTCCACAGAGTCAGACATGACTGAGCACTTTCACATGCAACTGTTCAGTCAATGCAGGTTTTCCCTAAGTTTTTTTTTTTAAATCTTTCTGGAATTCTTGGAAAGCCCATCTCCTCATGGCATTGACCACTGAACAGATGGCCACCACATCTTTTGCTCTAGCTCTGTTTTCTCTCCCTAGCTCTTGAATTTCTACATGCTTGCTGTAATCTCTGTCTGGGAAGTTCTGCCCACACCTCAAACAAACGAGCTAAAGCTTAATAATGAACTTCATGCCTGAGCCAGCCCTGCCCCCGAGTTCTCTGCCTTTGTGATGGTGTCTCTGTCCTTGTAGTCACCCTGGCTTGCAGCCTCTGAATTGTCTTGGAGCCCTCCCTGTGTTTACCACCACGCCCCATCAGTCATCTGGTCACCTAGATCCCTCTGCACCCGTGTTTGGTGTCTGCTTCCTCTTTCCCCATATCTGTGTTATGGTTCCAGCAGGCTCTCATGCCCACTCCTCTGGCCTCTTGCGATAGCCTCCTGACTAGTGGACCGTCTTTAGTATTCTAACTTCAGTTTCGCCCCCACCCAAAGGCTAGGTTAGTGAATGTCCATCCTCACACTTCCTTGCTGAAGAATACATCTGTGGTTCCCTCCTGCCACCCACAAAATTTGCACTCGGAGCCCTGAACCATCTGTCCCAGCCTTTCCTGCGTCGTGTTCCTCTACTCCCCTCCATGTGCTCCTCACCATCCACTCTAAGGTCAACTTTCTACCTCCTTCAAAGGCTGGGTTGCTTGCTACTTTTTTTGATTATTCCTACTGTCCCTGGCCAAATAGCCCATTCCCATCCTAGCCAGAAATAGGTTCTCCCACCTTGAACACTCTTGGTTTTGTGTGTGCTCCATTCGTGTGATGGTGACCACGTTGGCTCTTGTTTGTAGGTTTGTGTAGAAATTCTAATTTCTCGACCACATCACCAGTGCCAGGGCCAGCCCCCTGCTTCCCTTTGGGTCTCCATTGGATCACGCATCCCAGTGGGAAGGTCTGCTGGAGGCCAGCCCCCTGGTCCCCTTTGGGCACCTTTTGGATCACCCATCACAGTGAGAATATCTGCTGGAGGCTGTGCTTCCAGAGTCAGCTGGACTTCTTTGCCAGGAGGCTTTGATCGAGGTCTCTCTGAGACCGTGGGGACTGTCTCAGGCCCTGCTCCTTAGGGCACAGGAACTCAGCAGGTTGTGGGTTTGGTCCCTTCGGGGCTATGCATTCATGGTATCTGCTGAGGTTACGCCTCCTCCCTTTTGGCTCCAGTAGTCAAGCTGGACTCATTCAGTAACACAAATGACAATCCTTTTCGAAAAATCATTTCCCTTAGCTCAGGCAGGTGGACCATAAGACATGCTCTGGAATTACCACCTCCCCTGTGAAAACTGCATGTTCAAAGGGGGCAGTTTCTTTCTTTCTTTCTTTCTTTTTGCTGCACCATGCAGCTTGAGGGATCTTAGTTCCTTAACCAGGGACTGAACCCAGGTCCACGGCAGTGAAAGTGCCAAGTCCTAACCACTGGATCACCTGGGAATTCCAAGGAGACACTTCTTTATAAATAAATTTGATTTGTGCAAACCCAGGTTCCACATGGTGGCTGTGGGTTAGTGGGAAAGTGTGGACTTGGAATGAGAAGAATGGGTTCAAGCCTGGACTGGGATGCATATTTCTTATGTGGCCAAGATGCTTGACCCAGGAGCTTTGGCTTCTGCTCCTTCTTCCAACAGTAGTGAAAGAAGGTTAAGTGGAAGCATGTGGGCAAAATGCTTCACAAAGCAGCAAGTGCTCTGGGAATAACCCTCAGATTGGCTGGAGGAGATTCTGGGAGTGTGTTCTAGAGTGGCTGTGATGTTGGTTGGTCAGGACTTAGTCCTCTTGGGAGGGTTTGTGTGGCACCAAGGTCAGAGAGGCTTCATGGGACAGTGGATGCAGTCTGAGATGGTCAGATTAGCTTGCCTACTGAAGAGTGTTTATCTGGTACTGGACGAAATGAGTGGAAGATACACCTGGGAGGAGGATGTCCTTTTTTTAAAAATTTTATTGTAGTTGATTTACAGTGTTGTGTTAGTGTTTGCTTTACAGCAACGTAGTTCAGTTATATGTATATAGACATACATTTTTAATGTTCCTTCCCATTATGCCTTATCATAGGATATTGAATCTAGTTCTCTGTGCTATACAGTAGGCCCTTGTTGTTTATCCATTGTATATATAAAGGCTTACATCTGCTAATCCCAGCCTCCCCCTCCATCCTTGCCTCAACTCCCTCTCTCTTGGCAATCATCAGTCTGTTCTCTGTGTCCAGGATTCTGCTTCTGTTTGATAGATAGGTTCATTTGTGTCATATTTTAGATTCCACATATAAGTGATGTGCATGCATACACGCTAAGTCGCTTCAGTCATGTCCAACTCTGTGTGACCCTATGGACTGTAGCCCTCCAGGCTCCTCTGTCCATGGGATTCTCCAGGAAAAAATACTGGAGTGGGTTCCCATTCCCTTCTCCAGGGAATCTTCCCGACCCAGGAATCAAACCCAGGTCTCATACATCTCCTGCATAGACAGGCAGGTTCTTTACCACTAGTGCCACCTGGAAAGCCCATACATATAAGTGATATCATATGGTATTTGTCTTTCTCTTTCTGACTTACTTCACTTAGTATGATAATCTCTAGTTGAATCTGTGTTTCTGCAAATGGCATTGTTTTTTGATGACTGAGTACTATTCCATTGTATATATGTACCACGTCTAATTTATGCATTCATCTGTCAGTGAACATTTAGATTGTTTCCACATCTTGGCTATTGTGAATAGTGCTGTTATGAACACGGGGTGTATGTATTTTTTGAATTATGGTTTTGTGGACATCTTTTGACACACTTCCCACTCCCACCCTACCCCACCTTTGTTGTTGAATATTTTTGGACACATATCTACCAGTCCAGTAGTTAAGACTCCGAGCTTCCACTGCAGGGGTCATGGATATTGAGGAACCAGGATCCCTGCATGACTTGGTGTGGCCAAAAATATAAAAAAGAAGGTGATAGATTCCCCATATAAGTGATATATATGGTATTTGTCTTTATCTTATTTAGTTCACTTAGCATTAACACCTTCAAGGTCCTTCCACATCATTACAAAAGGCAGAATGTATAGTATTCCACTATATATACGTCACATCTTCTTGATCCATTCATCTGTGGACGGACACTCTGGTGGTCCCTGTGTCTTGGCGACTGTGAATAATGCTGTGGTGAACATGAGGCTGGAGCTAGTGCTTTGAGATAGTGATTTCATCTTTAGATGTATACCCATATATACCCATACTTGTTTTCTTTAGATATATAACCAACTCTTTGTGACCCCATGGACTATACAGTCCATGGAATTCTCCAGGTCAGAATACTGGAGTGGGTAGCCTTTCTCTTCTCCAGGGGATCTTTCCAACCTAGGAATCAAACTGGGGTCTCTTGCATTGTGGGACAATTCTTTACCAACTGAGCTATGAGGGAAGACCTCATATACCCAGGAAGGGAATTGCACTGAATATGTGCTCAGTCACTCTGTCATGTCTGACTCTTTGCAACCCCATGGTCTGTAGCCCACCAAGCTGCTCTGTCCATGGGACTTTCCAGGCAAGACTACTGGAGTGGGTTGCCATTTCCTTCTCCATGAGATAGTGATTTCATTTTCTTTAGATATGTACCCAGGATAGGAATTGTACTGAATATACTTTTAAAAAATCAAACAAACAAAAAAACCTCTTAGATGTGTATGTATTTACATTTCTTTAAGTTCAGTTTGTAAAATACATTTCCATGGTCTTGGGATCGGGCATTGGTGATGTCATAGGTCAGGGTTGCCTGACCTTTTGCCCCTGCCCCTTCTCTGCAGTGGCTTCCTCCCGGGAAAGGGCATCTCCCCCTCCAGCTTTGCTGTGTGTGTGTGTGGGTGGTCTGCAGAGACACTGTCCCCTTTTCCTCCCCTTTTACTCCCTGACATGGGGTGCTCTCTGCAGAGGTGGGGGTCCAGAGTGGTAGCCAGACTACAGATTATCAGGGAGCAGGTGCTGGGCTCACAACTGTCTCCCTCCCCTCTCCTGATGCAGGTGCTTCAGTGAAGAGTCCTGTGTCTCCATCCCTGAAGTGGAGGGCTATGTGGTGGTGCTACAGCCGGATGCCCCCCAGATCCTGCTGAGCGGCACTGCTCATTTTGCCCGCCCAGCTGTGGACTTCGAAGGACCCGAGGGGGTTCCTTTGTTCCCTGATCTCCAGATCACTTGCTCCATTTCGCACCAGGTGGAGGCCAAAAAGGACGAGAGTTGGCAAGGCACAGGTAAGCATGCCTCCCAGGGAGGGGTCGGTGTCTGGAGCCAACCTGAAGGAGAAAATCTGGAGCTGGACATGACAGCAATGTCACCCCACATTTGCTTTTCGAGAATCACTGGCTATTGGGAAGGAGGGCCAGTGGGAGGCCCCCAGGTATAAGGACATTGTCGGGTAGTGACCTTCTTGACAGCGATGCTGGCAGCTCTCAGGGGATGACCCAGGATGGGGAGGAGGAGTGGCCACGAGGTGGGCCCTTCAGCTCTGACCCAGACCCCGACTCCCTCCCATCCAGTGACAGACACTCGCATGTCAGACGAGATCGTGCACAACCTGGACGGCTGTGAGATCTCCCTGGTGGGGGATGACCTGGATCCCGAGCGGGAAAGTCTGCTCCTGGACATGGCATCCTTGCAGCAGCGAGGCCTGGAGCTCACCAACACATCCGCCTACCTCACCATTGCCGGTCAGTGGGACCTGAGAGCTGGTCCTCTTTTCTTGGGATGCCCCTGTCCATCTCTGGGGGACCCAGAGGGTCCTCCTTCCAGGCCCAGAAATGTGACCAAGTGTCCCCTTTCACCTTCTCCATCTGGAGGTCCTCTGTCTTCCAGATTGTCCATAGAGGTGGGGGCCGGGGTTTAGAATTCTGATGGTTCTTTCCCAGCGTCTCTGTCCAGCCCGACTCACCTCTGTTCTGTGCTCCACTCTTCCCTGGCTCAGTCTCTGACTAGCTTTCTTATTCTCTGGCCATTTGCTACTCACCATCTTCTCTGTCTTCCATCTCACTGATCTCTTGGATTCAGCATAGCTTTTCTTTTCTTCTAATATTTATTTATGTGGCTGTGCTGGGTCTTAGTTGGCAGCACGCGGGATCTTTTTTAGTTGCGGCACGTGGGGTCTTTAGCTGTGGCATGCAGACTGTTTAGTTGCAGCATACGAACTCTTAGTTGAGGCATGTGGGACCTAGTTCCCTGACCAGCGATGGAACCTGGTCCCCTTCATTGGGAGCATGGAGCCTTAGCCACTAGACTCCCAGGGAAGTTCCTAAGTGCTCATCTCTTAATGTTTGGTGGTAATGACTTGGCAGCTTTCCAGGGAAGCCTGCTCCTCTCCAAAGGACCCTCTGTTGGGAAGAATAGAAGACGGGGTGGCCGGTCCCCTCGTTTTCATTCCCTTCCAGAGCCTCATGGAGGGCTTCTGTCTTTGCCCCTCACCATCTCCCCACTGCTGCCTCCTCCCTCTGTCCTGCATGCGTCCCTGTTTTCCTTCTCTCCATCCCTCCTCCCAGCTCGCAGAGGAGAGCAAATGGAGCCTCGGTTTCTCTGTCCCAGTCAGGCAGAGCTGGCGGGGTGCAGGGGAGCCTCTCTCCCTCTAAGGAATCGGGTCACGCTCCTGTTGAGTTGAGGGGTGTCAACAGGTGGGAGTCTGGGAGAGAGACCCCGGGCCTCCTCGCTGGCTCCTGCTCTGAGCCGCCTCCCGGGTTCCCAGGGGTGGAGAGCATCACCGTGTATGAAGATATTCTGAGGCAGGCGCGTTATCGCCTGCGACACGGAGCAGCCCTCTACGCCAGGAAGTTCCGGCTCTCCTGCTCAGAAATGAATGGGCGTTACTCCAGCAATGAATTCATCGTGGAGGTAACCCAAGCCCCCTCCCTCCCACAGCCGCCCCCGCTGGTGAGGAGCCGGGATGGGAGCGGGGGCGGCTGGGGGCGGGTACTGAGCTCCCTGGTGGTTGGGGGTGGAAACTGCAGCCCGGGCAGGGGAATTCTGGACCCGGGTTGTGGGTGGAGAAGGAGGGGAAGCTGGGGCGGCAGGGAGCGGGTGGGGGCGTGGGGCGTGGGCAGGGGTGAAGAGATGGGCCTCCAAGGGCTGGAGGAGGACTGGGGAGAAGCGAGCGTATCCACTGAGCCCGCCCTCGCCCCAGGTCAGCGTCCTGCATAGCGTGAACCGGGTGGCTCACCCCAGCCACATGCTCAGCTCCCAGCAGTTCCTGCACCGCGGGCACCAGCCACCGCCTGAGATGGCTGGACACAGCCTGGCCAGCTCCCACCGCAACTCCAGTACGTAAGGCTGGGTGGGGCCAGCAGGCCGGTGGGCACAAGCATCCTCCCTCCACCTCTGGGGGTGGTGGGTGAGGAGGAAGGGGTGGAGCCATGGATTCTGTCGAACCTGGCTTGGTTGACGGTTCCGATCCAATCCCTTCACCCCTGGCTCATTCACTTTCCCTAGTGGACAGTTCGAGCCTTGGGTCATCACAGGGTCACTCATATCCGGGCTGATGGTCAGTGCGGGTTTAGCCTTTGTTGTTGCTGCTGCCGGCAATATGAAGTCAGCCGCGGACCTCGGGATCCTCAGTAGTGAAGCTATCACGTATTAAGCACCTGCTGTATACTAATGCTGTCGACAATACCGTTAAGAATACAGACAATTATAAGGTAGATACGGTTTCTATTCTAAAGAAGGTTGGTGCTATTGCCTGTCAAATTATGTGCTATCTAAGATTGAGGGCAGGAGGAGAAGGGGACAACAGAGGATAAGATGGTTGGATGGTATCACCGACTCGATAGACATAGGTTTGGGTGGACTCCGGGAGTTGGTGATGGACAGGGAGGCCTGGCGTACTGCAGTTCATGGGGTCACAAAGAGTTGGACACGACTGAGCGACTGAACTGAACTGATAAAGTCATAAGGCTATTTCTGAAACAAAATATGCAAACATGTGAAGTGCTACATCCAGATGGACAGATGCCCTTCAGAGCCATCTTGTTCCCTGGCCAGGGTTGCTTACTAGTGATGCAATTTTTAATTCATAATTTGAGTTGTTTAATTATAGAAAAATTAGAAACTCTAAGTGTAAATAAGAAAAGTCATCCATAGTTCCACCACAGTTCACCCATTGTTAGTAGGGTCACAGCCCAGCTTTTGCCTATGTGGCTGTTTTCTTTTTTTCTTTTAACAAACATGAGATCAAACTATTTTGTAACCTAATATTTACACCTAATATTATAAATTGAGTCTTCTCCACATTGTTAAAAATTGCAATGATTCTGATGTTGCTGGAAATGATTTTTGGAATCCCTTTTTTACAATTGTTTTCAAAGTCAATTCATGAGATGCATTTATTTTTGTTACTTTCAGGACATAACTTGCTTTTGGCCTAGTTCAATATTACCCAACATCAGCATCCACTTTTGTCAGAGTTGGCTCTGGATAGCATTTTACGTTTGTACATGTAAAACCCACTCCGGAAAGGCAGAGATGTGTCACTTATTAGAAAAAGTCAGGGACTTCCCTAACAGTCAAGTGGTTAAGAGTTTGTGCTTCCACTGCAAGGGGCATAGGTTCAATCCCTGGTCGGAGAACTAAGATCCCACATACCACATGGCATAGCCAAAAAAAAAAGAGATTAAAAAAAAGTCAAAACTTGTGTTGCAGGCTCTGAAGGCAATTCCGTAAGGCATTTCAAACACGCTTTCTTGGGGCAAGGTCATGGTCACTTACTGAGCCCTACCCTTAAAGGACAGCTCTCTTGTCAACCATGTAATCATTAACAGTAGTGAGCACTTTGGTGTGCCAGGCACTCTGCCTGTGAATTTTACACCTATTAACCCAGTGAGTCATTAAAGACAACAGCTGAAATAGGCACTAGAATGAGCCCCTCTAAAGGTAAGGAAACAGAGACCCAGAGAGGTTAAGTACCTTATCCAAGATCACATAGCAAAAATATGGTGGAACCAGGATTCAAATTCAGCCAGCAGAATTCCAGAACCTGTATTCTAGCACCCTTCATATCCTCTCCATGTTAGATGCTTTACAAATAGTCTCATCACATTACAGTTGCACCTAATTTGCCAGAGCCCTTGAGGGCTTTCCAGGATGTCTCCGACTGAGACCGGCTCCTGGGTACCCCTCAGAATTCAGTCTGCTTTCCTTTCCTTGGGCAGCGGCTCCCACTGCACTGTCTCTTGTGTTTGCTTTTCCCTGGGACTGGCTCCCCTCATCCTTGCTCTCCCTGAAAACAACTGCAGACACCTTTTAAGTGTTTTCCTGTGATTCCTACAGCAAAGCAGACGGAAGTAGGGGTGAGGAGGGAGTGTAAAGCATAAGGAAGTTGCAAGGTTCTAGGAAGCTTCACACTATCTTTAGAGACATGTGAGTGAACTTGACCTGTTTTTGTTAAATAGACTTTTGGGGCCATGACTCCCTAGGTCTTCTTCCAGTTCTTTCCTTGGCAATCATTCCACTCAGCCTTGCTGGGGTTGGATACTGAGTCTACCACTCAGATTAGGCTCAAAGTGGGTCCTGGTTGGCATTGCTGTTGGGCTTGGTAAGACTCTCATCCTTGTTTTCTCTGCTTGCTCTGAGATCTGAATTGAGAGCGGCAGCCTGCTTTTCCTTTCCCCTGATTTTGGCCTGAGTAGGGTACAGAGTTCATAGTTTACCCGAGGGCCTTGGTGATTGATATCTCCTGAACATATCAGGAGACCCATTTTGTCAGACCCATTCCATGTACCTTTCCTGACTCTTCAAAGTGTTCCCTTTCTCTCCCTTCCCTCCCAGTCCCAAGAGTGGAGTTACAGAACTGTGGTTAAGCAATATCAAATTACTCTGACCATGCAAAAGAGGAAGAGATAGAATTCTCTCCAATGGGATGGGGGGTTCATTTCTCTGAAGTGCCTAAGTGCACCAGGAAAGAGCTCAGTGTGAACTGGCACAGTCAGCTAAGGAAGGCCTGTGCTGGCGCATTCAGACCTTGACCTTGAACCTGGAGGGTAGAAGGGAATCTGGATGGACACAAGAGAGAACAAGAGTGTTAGAACTGGGGGTGGGTGGGTGGCTCGGGGGGTTGTGTTTGGAGAGAACAAGGCTGCCTGAGAAGGGTAAGATGAGTGTTGAAGACAAGATTTATCCAGTCCTGCCAAATTTTGATGCACATCAGAATCGCCTGGGAGCAGTAAAAACCCTTAGTGCCTCGGCCATACCCCATGTCAATTCAGTCAGAAGGTCTGGGGTGGGGAGCCAGGCTTCAGTGCGTTTTTAAAGATCCTCAGGTGATTCCACTGTGCAGTCAAGTTAGGAATTATTTCCTTCCTTTGTTACCTACAAGTATCTGAGACTTCGTGGAGAGACCCACAGTGCAGTAGGATGAGAATAGAAAATGAAGTTGGACGTGAGGCAGAAAGGACGACGATGGAAGATGAAGCCAGGGAATAAGTCAGTTCATAAAACACATGCTGTGAGATACTGCACAGTTGCTTGAGTGGCCAGAATTTGGACCTGAACTTCCTTGGAGCTGAAACAGGAGGAAAACTGAGCAGTTAGGAAAGTCACGTGATGGGACCTACCAGTGCTTCCGGTTGGAGGTTTCTTCCCAGCCTCTTCAAAAAGGGGGCTCCACGCAGGGTTATGGACAGGCCATCCACGGTGCCTTACACTCACACGAAGCCAGGAGTTTCACATAGGCTACTGGCTAGAACTCAAACACTCCTTCCTGTTGGGGAGGTCGCTCGAGGCGAGAGTCAACTACTTGGAGCTAATTCAGTAAGAAAGGTTGATGATGTTTCCTAAACTCTTGGTTGCTGTCTGTAGCTAACTTAAAAATCCTCCCGTCTCCCCGGCCTCCTGGCTCAGTTTAAACTAATTAACTGTGCTTGTTTGCCCGCACGTGCAGTGTCTGCGCTTTGTCTTTCCTGTGGTCATTTCTGATTGCTGGCAGTCAGCTTGTCACTTCCTTCACCAGGCCAGGGGCTTGCAGGGACAAATGCATTTGATTAAGGCACAGAGCAAAAGCTCTGGCTCGTCGTCCTTGTGGCTGTGGCGCCAGTTCACCTGCTGTGGCCTCCACCCCAAGGAGGGGTTTCTACTTCTACAGCCTGAGCTTGGCTACGGGGGCATTCTGCTGGTGGGGGTCACTGTTCTGGGATCCTGCCCCACCGACCTGGAGATGCGGGAGGGGCTTTTTCCTGCAGAGGAGCCGACAGGCCAGCTCGGCCTCCCCGCTCCTCCTCCTCCATCCCCAGACAGTTAAGAAACACTCATCCAGCCAGGCCCATCTCTCCCCAGAGCCGGCGCCCAGGGAATGCGCCTGCCTTGCTCAACAGAGTCAGTTGTCATTGGCCCCAAATGGGCTATGGGTCGGGTCAGACTGGGGACCGACCTGGCAGAGCACCATCAGGGCGGCCTCGGTGAGGGGTGAGGCCAGTGCGGCTGCTCCCACACCTGCTTGTGTTTCCACACCTGGCTGGCTCTGGAGCATGTGGCAGCGTGTGCGTGCACTGTCTGCTGGAGGACAGGTGTGCACCAGGGTGTACCCCATGCTCTGTGCTTCCCTGCGTTCTGCTCCGTCTCTGGCTATGTGAGTCTTGGAGGCTGTGGGTAAATTCGTGTGTGTGTGCGTGTGTGTGTGTGTGAGTGAGACGCATATACTAACAGCCCCTCAGCAACGGGACTGCCCAGGGTGTGGGTCCCACACAGCCTCCCTGGTCAGTGAGGCGCTGTGCCTCCGTGGCCGGCAGGAGTGGGCACCCATGAGGGGTGTAGTCACCCAGCTGCCCGTGAGGGCACTGAGCCTGGGGGCGCGCCTGTGGGGTCTCTACCTCCACCTGCTGTCCGTGGGGCTGTGGGCGCCTCTGTTTTGCCTCCTCCTGCTTCTCCGCGTGTTGTCCGTGTGTGCACAGGAGGCGGGCAAGGCTGTGCTTACGGCTGCTGCCTCCGTGGCAGTCTGGGTCCAGGTCTGTGGCGGGTACCTTGTCCTGCACGGGCTCGCCTGGACTGCCCAGCTGGTGGGGAGCTGGGTGGCGCTGCACGTGTGGCTCTGCTGTGCCTTGCTGGAGACCCTCAGGCGCATCCTTTCCATCCTGCCATGTGAGCAGGCCGTCGGGTGGCTGGTGCGGGCAGGCGTGCTGGCCGGCAGAGGCCTGGCGCGGGTGCGGGGCGTGGCGACCCTGGTCCAGGTGTGCGCCCACACGCTCTTCCTGGGCGTGTACCTGTGCCTGCACGTGTGCTTTGCCGCCATCAGCTCCAAGGTCCAAGTGAGGGTGCACGCCCCGCTCTGGGTCTCGCTGCCCTTTAGGGTCCACATCCCCCTGAACCTGGGCTTCAGAGTGAGGCTGCAGGCCCAGAGGCACGGCGAGGCCGAGGGGAGGGGGGGTGCATCCCAAGGGGAGCAGAGCCCCCCGGTGTCCCTCGAGCCCACAAGGAGACGGGAGGCGACACGGAGCAGGGGCGAGCTCTGTCCAGGTGGGTACTTGAAGGGGCTGCTTTCTACCTCTTGGTCCTGTCCCCAGCCTCAGGTGCCAGGCCACACTTGGAGCCCACTTCTCCTCTTCAAACAAAGGAGAACATTCTCTACTCTTGCATCATCAAGCCCGTGTGGCCACCTCTCTCCTTTCCCCTCTGGGCTCCCGGGACCTCCTTCCTGGACTGCATGGTCCCCAGGGAAGGCACAGGCAGAGGACCTGGGCAGGGTCCAGGCCTTGCCCTCTGTCTGCCGAGCACAGAACTGCTCAGGGCAATGTTGGGCTGGGGGCCCTTCTCCTCCCCCTGCCCTTCCTCCTTTGCAGTCCTCCTCCCTCCCTCAGGCTCTCAGTTCCTCCAGTTGCCCCCTGCCCTCCCCATCTCTGCCCTTACCTGGGTGAAAGTGAAAAAGAGAAAGCGATAGTCGCTTAGTCAAGTCGGACTCTTTGCAACCCCTTGGGGGTAGCCCGCCAGGCTCCTCTGTCCATGAGATTTCCCAGGCAAGAATACTGGAGTGGGTTGCCAGTTCTTCCTCCAGGGGATCTTTCCGAGCCAGGGACTGAACCCAGGTCTCCTGCATTGAGGGCAGATTCTGTACCTGTGGGACTCTGCTTCTCTTCCAGCTTCTACAGTGGAGACCCCTCTTCTGGGCCATCATGGACCCTCTCTTTTGCTCAGGGATGCCCTCTTCCCAGACGCCTGACCCCCTTCTGCCATCCCCCTCCCCCCTCCCCCGCCAGCCGAGTTGGCTCAGGTGTGCCTGGCTCTCTCTGCAGTGGTCCCCAGTGCGGCCACCCTCATCATCGTGGTGTGCGTGGGCTTCCTGGTGCTCATGGTTGTCCTGGGTCTCGTGCGCATCCACTCACTGCACCGCCGCGTCTCGGGGGCCAGCGGGCCTCCCGGGGCCTCCAGCGATCCCAAGGACCCCGACCTCTTCTGGGATGACTCAGCTCTCACCATTATCGTGAACCCCATGGAGGTGAGTGGGGGGCCTGGCAGAGTCAGGGTGCAGCTGGGGCACACTCCCAGCAGGGAGACTCCCAATGAGCACCCACCCCCCCAACCTTCCCCAGTCCTACCAGAGCCGGCAGGTCTGCGTGGCGGGCACTGCGGGTGGCCAGCAGGACGATGAGGACAGCAGCGACTCGGAGGCGGCTGACTCGCCCAGCAGTGACGAGAGACGCATCATCGAGACCCCCCCTCACCGCTACTGAGGCCTCTGCCCCTCCCCAGACAGAGAATTCCGTCCCGGAGAGTCAGACACACCGAAGAGACAGAAGGACCTTCTTAGAGGAGAGAGACCCGGTGGGGTGGAGAAGAGAGCTCTTAGAAGAGTCCTCTCCTAATCTCAGAATCTGGGGGCCCACCAGAGCCCGCCCCCTCCCCCTCAGCCCCCAGCCCACCCCCGGCTCCATGCCTCTGGGCTCCTACTCCTGGGTTGGGGAGATTCTGGCTGCCTTGTCTGTCCCCAGGCAGCCACCCCCTTTGCTGACTCACGTCTGTCTCTTCCCCCACCAGCCATGTGCTGTATGGGAGTGGGGGGGCGGTGTGGCACTGAAGAAAACTTTGTCTCCTGCCCTTACCTTCTCTCCTGTCCACGGGGCCCCCTGGCCGGGCATTCTCTGCTTCTCTTAACGAGCCCCCCTCTTTCCATTTCACTCTGGGGATCCCCTCTTCTCCTGGCCTCCTTCCCTCCTCTTTCCTCTCCTTGCCTGAGGTCTTGCAGCCCCTGCCCCTTTCTCCGAGACCTGGCTGTGGCTGGGTTGTAGGGGTGGGAGTGGGGTGGGGGCCCGGGTGGATTATATATAATGTATATTTTTTCATGTCGTCGTGAGCGCAGCCCCTGTGTTCCGTGTGCAGCTCACAACCTTGTGTGCGTGTGGCATCGTCACGTCCTGGGGTGGGAGTGGGGGTCGGGGGGTGGGTGTGTGAGGGAGGGGACACACCCTAGGGTTTTCAAATAAAACAACTGGAAAAAATCCTGGTGAGCTGCCTCTGGCCTGCTTGATCCCTGGTGGGTGCTCTGTGGGTGGCCGCTGGGGTCTCTGACCCCTTCGGTCTCTGAGCTGAAGTGAGGGGCAGGGCTGGTTGTCTGGGTGCTGTTGCCAGGATCAGATGGCTCCCACTGCACCCTGGGAAAAGTGCAGACAATTGGGGGAATGCTGCATATGCCAGAGTTTTGTGGAAGACATTGTTATCACCCCCATCTCTTGGAATTTTTCACCTGGGGTTCCTGTGTGCCCAGCCCCGGGGCAGTCGAGGGGGAGAGGGCAGGCACCCCTGCTATTTGTTTTTTAAAAAGGGGTTTCCCTTTTAAAAATTAATTAATTGATTAATTATTGGCCATACCTTGTGGCATGTGGGCCCTTAGTTCCCCCACCACCTGTAGGTGGCGGCTCCACTAGGGCGTCCTGCACTTCAGAGGCAACCTTGGCCCGGATTCTGCTCTGTCCATTTTGCCTTTCTTCCAGTTACCTGAGCCAGAGACCTGGGAGTGGGTTGGGATTTCTCCCTCTCCCTTAACCTCATGTCCACATGGTGACTAAACCCTCTCATTTTTACTTTTTACCCCTTAAAATCTCTCAAATGTCTTTTTCTCCCCGGCACCCCATTGCTGGTGCTGCCTTGGCTTATACCGTCTTCAGTATATGCCTGGTCTGTTGCAAGAGCCTCTTACGTGTCACCTACCTGTTGCCTACCTGTCACCTACCTGCCTCCTACCTGTTCTCCTTGCCTCCAGTGTTTTGCTCCACTCCACCCACCTCTGGGTCGGAGTGGCTTTTCTAAAGTGCAGGTTCTCCTCCTGGACCTTCCCTACTTCCAAATCACTGTCAGGGTCAAGTTTGGACACCTTGAGAGGCCCCTCAACCCACCTCCCCCACCTGCCTGGCCCTCCCTGCCACCACCCTGGCACACCTAGGTACCAGTCACACAAACCACTAGTCTTTCTCCAAACCTGCCCTGCTGCTTCTTGCCTCTGTCTTTGCATGTACCGTTCGCTCTGTCCAGTGTCCTTTCCCCTCTGTGTGCCTAGCCATCTTGTCCTTATCACTCCAGACCCAGTGCTGCCTCTTCCGGGAAGTCTTCTGTGCTCTGGCACCTCTTGTTCATGCCTCCATCCCAGACCTTTTCACTACACAGTGGTTCAGATCCGTCTCCACCACCAGACTGTGTCCTCAGAACTCACACGGGGCCTGGCGCGCAGTAGGGGCTCTGAAGAATGGATGAGATGTGTGTGGCTCTCAGATCGATTCTATGAGAAAAGATGTATTGGTAGGAGGGGAGAGGGGAGCTCCTTTGGTGGCCCTCTGGCCTGGGGGCATCAGTGCACAGAGGACAGACGTGACCCAGCAGGTGCCTGATGAACTGTCTCCTGGAGGGGCCCTTGTGGATGCCAAAGTCATGTTTCCATGTCTGTGGCAATAACACGTGGGAGGCAGCCTGCCTGTTCTCCCTGGAGCTGCTCAGAGTGATGGCTCAATGGGCAGAGCCTTCAGATATCAAAGCCTCCGTGCTAACAAGGTGTGAGAGTGAGATTTCAGTCTTTGGTCTTAAACTTCAGGGACCTCACCCCCTCTTCTCTTACCATCCCCCCTAGTCTTCACGCACCCCTGGCCTCAGGGTCCACAGCTTCTCACACAGAGCAGTGGAGTTAAGTGTTTGCCCTTGTGCTCACTCAGTCATATCTGACTCTTTGAGATCCCATGGACTGTAGCCTGCCAGGATCCTCTGTGCATGGAATTCTCCAGGCAAGAATACTGGAGTGGGTTGCCATTTCCTACTCCAGGGGGTCTTCCCGACACAGGGATCGAACCCACATCTCCAGGTTTTCTGCACTGGCAGGTGGATTCTTTACCATTAGCGCCACCAAATGGGAAGCCCATTTGCCCCTGGAGCCCCCAGAGTGTGGCCAGACTCAGGACCCGGGGTCTTCATTCAAGTTCAAGCCCCAGCTCTTGGGAGCAGATGGGGCAAGTACACACATCAGCAGCACAGGGTCCATCTCTTAGCATCTGCCCAGTCCCGGCCTCCCTGGATCATCCATCTCTTGGACCAACCAGGATTTCTTCTGAAATGCACCTTTCTGCACTCGTTTCCTGGGGACTCTCTGGGGTCACGGGCCACTGACTGTGTCTTATAGGTGCAGCCTTTCCTGTCCCTCCTGTTCATCCCTAGTGCTGATACCCCAGATGCCAGCCCATGGCTGCCAGAACCTCCTGACCTGACAGCTGGGCAGATGGTCATGTCACCATGGGGTGGGTGGGTGCCTGGAGAAGACTTTGAAGCCCACGTGCCCCCACATTGCCCCAAGCAACCACTTTCGCTTGTGGGCCCATTCTTCTCTCTCAGTCTCTCTCTCTCACACACACATTGGCAATAGGAATCAGGAGTGAGGCAAGATGCTGACGCCCATTGTGCAGAGAAGGGGCGGCAGGCAGGAGTCCAAATGGGTTTCTATTTTGTTGCTCAAGATCTCCTGGAAAGTTCCCCAACCTCCCTCACAGAACCTCCCAAAGCCTCAGGACGCCAGGACTTGGGCAGGGCTTCCCATTTCTCTCCTCATGTAATTTGATACAGCAAACATCTCCTTTGGCCTCAATCAGATCTTCTCTTTCGCACTGAAAGCCTGTTTTCCTCTTAAGTCCATTCTCTGCAGTGAAAATTGATGAGCTTCCTGGAAAGTGCATGATGGAGAGCCAGCCGCTTGAGAGAAGCTGTAGAGGCAGAGACGGTAACCAAGTGCTCAAGAATCAAGTGTCTGCATCCTATTACTAGACCAGAGACCTGAACGCTCACCTTTGTGTCTTCTGGGAAGGATGACATGGGCTCTGCCCATGTCAGGATTCCATCACACTGCAACCTTCCCACTGGTGTGCTATCAGTAACGATCCTAAAACCTGCATTTCGGCAGCTGCCAGCCCCTGCCTTGGGGGCTGCCGTCCTCTTGCTGGGACGGGTCAGGAATGACACATCTGCTCCCAGTCTCCTAGCACACATGGAAGAGCTCATATTACTTTCACATTTTAATCTCCATGTTGTCCCCCCAAAATATGTCCTCTGGTTCCCCTCAGGGTTCCTCTGGACCAGTTGACTGGTGAATCACCTAGACCCTGGCCTTTCCTGGTGGCTCAGATGGTAAAGAGTCTGCCTGCAATGCAGGAGACCTGGGTTGGATCCCTGGGTTGGGAAGACCCCCTGGAGGAGGGAATGGCAACCCACTCCAGTATTCTTGTGGAGAATCCCATGAAGAGAGGAGCCTGGTGGGCTACAGTCCATGGGGTCGCAAAGAGCTGGACAGACTGAACGACACACACACCTAGACCCTAGGCCGTTCCCAGGGTGCCTGTAGCATGAGCTGAGCTTGCATCCTCAGTGCTCGGTGCAATGTGGGCTCTGGGCGTCCTGGACTCCTCCTCCCTGGACGCCCTCTTCTCACCCAGCGTTCTGCTGAGGCATCCCGCTCCGGGGCGCCCCCTCCTGGAGAGACGAGGAACGGCAGGAAGGGAGCCGGTGCGGAGGGAGATGGGTGAGTCCCGGCCGGCAGGCAGGCGCATCTGAGAGACGGGGAGGAACTGGCACGCTTATTTTCATCGCGCTGGTGTCGCTGCGTCTCCCGCGGCACCACGCTGCTGTCGCTTCCTAAAATAACCTCGTTCTACAGGAAAAGGACAGATGAGGGTTTAAATTTAGCAACGGTGGGGGGGAGTGGGTGGGGGAATGCAGACTCTGGGATGTGGGGGGGGCTGGCTTTGTCATTGAAGGAATTGGAAGCCGGTGATGCCTGCCTGAGGATTCTCACCCACAGGATAAGGGAACGTCCAGTCCGAGTGTAATGTCCAGTCTCGAAGACCTGCCCTGAATATCCGAGGTTCTCACCCCAAGTCTGCAGTCCCGCCCACCTCTCCAGCAGATGTGATCTTTTCCCTTAACAGCTGAGTTGGAGTTACGCTGCCATTTCTCCACAGGCTTCTGTGTGGCTGGTTCTTTGGGGAGAGGCTGTTAAAGGGCAAAAGCAGAAGTTGAGAAAACCCCTGATTTTCAGTTAGGCTAATGAAGGGAGAGGAGTCTTCCTGGGCTCAGGGCACCACAGACAGGGAGAAGTCCAGAAGGCACAGGAGCTGTGCAGAGACGGTGATGTCACTTGCAAATGACAGAAGGGCAAAGACCCAGGGTACCAGGCCCAGGTGACTCAGCTGCCTAGTCCCCCTGGAAGTTCGGCAGCCCCCCACAGACCACCCAGCCAATGACCCTCCACCTCGGGGCCCTGCTCTTCCTGCATCATCTGGCTGTTCTGAGGAAATTCCAAAGCACAGGGGGCCCCTCCTGCCAGGGATGGGATGGGGAGGAGGAGCGAGGGAGGAGGGAGGAGGGATTGAGGAGCCCCCATCCCCACCCCCGTGTTCACATCTCAGCAACTTAGTGTTCAGCCTTGGTCTTCAGCTTCTCTAAGTGATGGCTCACCGGCTGTCGAAAAATTCCCTACTGCAAGGGTTCAGTGAGGCTTCAATACAATCACTTTTTCTGGCCCACGCCATGAACAGCCTAGGGGAGGCTTGCACCAACATGAAGCGCCAGTGCACCCACCAGTGTTTCAGAGTACTTCAGTCACTGGTTTGCCAAGACGTTCCTCAGGGGGAACTGCTCCAGGGACCCATGCATCGACCTCTTCAAGCACTACCATCAGGGTGTTCAAATCAGAAAGCAACAAAGGAGAAGGAGATTCCTATTGAAGGACTGGAGTTCATGGGTCATGGCAAAGAGAAGCCTGAAAACTCTTCTTGACCTTGACAGTCACCTTGATAATGGACGTCTCAAATCAGGAAATTGAGGACTCTGGTTCTTGTCAGTTAGAACTGAAGATAGCATTGATTTGATTAATTTAGGAAGGAGGAGTTTCCTTTCCTTGATACTTTTCTCTGCTTGTAAAAGATGATGAACAGTCACTCTTTGCTTTGAGATTTCTGGCTTTGGCATCTCAGCAGGAA